TTACTTTCTGATCCTCCCACGGAATCGTGTGAGTTTGTGGTGGAAAACGAGTTATTATATCACTGTATAAACATGTGCGACGAGATCATAAAGAAGTGAACCCGCAACCCAAACTGTTGGATTGAATAGCGGCATGGTATTTTTGAGTAATTGCTTTTATATTTTAGTCGACGTAACAGTAGGTTACATTGAACACAACTATATATTTTGCATAAAATTATCGGAATATACACTATGGTTTTGGTATTATATATAGCCAGTTAAAACGTGCTACTACTATTCTGCCATGATGAATTCGAATCTACAAGATTTATTTTTTTCTCCCAATATGTTGTAATGCTGGCTTTATGGTAGGTTTTCGAAAAATCGCTAATTCAAAACTGTAATTTTTCTACATTTCTAAAGAATTCACGAGGTGCCGTAAAATGTTTTTATTTATTTATTTTATACTCTTCGATACTTGTTTAAATGGGTTCCATTACATTTGAACCCACGTACATTTGAACCCATGACAATTGCACCTATGGAATTTTTTTTGTTTCACGGATAGTTAAACCCATACTAACCCTAACCCATGGGTTTTAGCACCCGCATATAGATTGAACCCGTGAATATACGCATGGGTTCAAATGTACATGGGTTCAAATGTACGGTCACCGTTTAAATGTATTAGACGTTCAGTATCAAAGTAAAAAGATACTTGTTCAATTTCTAAGTAAATTTAGTTACATAATTTATTTAAACTATGATACGTGTATATTTTTCATTAAATTATTTGAATATGCGCTATGTTTGGCAATATATATGACCATGTTGAACCATGCTGCTGTTCTGTCATCATAATGAAATCGAATCTATAGAGTTACCCTATTTCTTTAAATATGTCGTAATGTTGGCTTTATTGGAGGTCATCGAGAAATACCTGCCTAATAACGAGTCATAAGATCAACTGTAATCAATCATCCTCATAATACTCGTTTTACAGTTCATTCAGATCTACTGTTGCTTGTCTATGCGAACTACAGGGTTCTCGCTATAAAAGCAAAAAATTTATTAAACATTTAATTTTTACAAAGAATAACTTCAATTAATGAAATTATTAAAGGCATATGCTATATTACATTCATGGATGCTAAAAATGTCGTCTGTGCAGAGCAGTATCTTAGTCCAAGAAACTAGTGAGAATGCATTTTGTCTCTGATCTCATTCGAGCTTCCAACTTTCTGCTTTTCTAGCGACCACCCTGTATATTTCAAATGTGGCACCCAAAATCTAGAATTTAACAGACTAATTTAAAAAGTTCCACCGAATAGCACATAGCCGTATAATTATCAATTCATATTTACATAAACATTTGAAAGATTCTCCGTAACATTTCAAGTGCAATCTTCTGATTGGACCCATTTCTTTCAAAAACTTTCCCCCATTTCGACATTGTACATCCTTAGATGCATCAGATGGAATATATATGGGTGGCACTAAGTCAGGGTCGTCCAACCCATGGCCTACGGGTAGGGTTACCATATTTTTTTGACTTCAAAGCGGGACGCCTCCCGTAACTTTACAGTTTCCGATTTTACTCCATTGGCCTACATATAAGCCATCCCGGCTGTCTTCATTGACCATATTGTCATCGAGAGTTCATGCGCATATTCTCTGTCTAAATATCGAGTTCATTTCGAAAAATAGAAAAGAATAGACGCTGACGATACAAATGATCCGAATTTAGATTTTTTTATGTACAGCAAAAGGAATAAAGAATAATGAAATAGTCTGCCGTTTTCAAGCATTGAGAATTGACTTATTTGCCCAAGCATGCTTTTTTGTAAGTAACACCTTCAAAAAAACGTTGTATGGACACGTTTGAAGTAAATGAAAGTAATAGCCTTCTAAAAGAAATTTTTATCTTCAAGCACTGAAAATTTCAGAGCAATTGGTCCAGTAATCAATAAGAAAAAAGCGACTTTTTAGATTTTTCACTAGGTGTCCAAAAAGTGTCAAAGAACAAGAACAACAACATAATATTAAAGCAATCGCTATGTCCACTACGTGTCCAACAACAACATAATATACGACGTGTCCAATAAGAATGAACATTGCGCATGGATTCAGTCCGATGTACGATGGTATATTGTCCTTTCGCTATGTTATATGCCTCACGCCACCGGACGAATAAGAATCTATTGAAAAGGTTACTCAGGCGTGGCAAACGAATAACACTGAGTCAGTTTAGACTAGCACTAGACTAGAGCCTTCTCAGTTTGGCAACGCCTGGCAATTTCTCAATCATATAAGATAAGTGCAATTTCCGTCAACATATGCATGTCGTGTTCCGCGAGGACAACGATAATTACTTTCTGATCCTCCCACGGAATCGTGTGAGTTTGTGGTGGAAAACGAGTTATTATATCACTGTATAAACATGTGCGACGAGATCATAAAGAAGTGAACCCGCAACCCAAACTGTTGGATTGAATAGCGGCATGGTATTTTTGAGTAATTGCTTTTATATTTTTAGTCGACGTAACAGTAGGTTACATTGAACACAACTATATATTTTGCATAAAATTATCGGAATATACACTATGGTTTTGGTATTATATATAGCCAGTTAAAACGTGCTACTACTATTCTGCCATGATGAATTCGAATCTACAAGATTTATTTTTTTCTCCCAATATGTTGTAATGCTGGCTTTATGGTAGGTTTTCGAAAAATCGCTAATTCAAAACTGTAATTTTTCTACATTTCTAAAGAATTCACGAGGTGCCGTAAAATGTTTTTATTTATTTATTTTATACTCTTCGATACTTGTTTAAATGGGTTCCATTACATTTGAACCCACGTACATTTGAACCCACGTACATTTGAACCCATGATAATTGCACCTATGGAATTTTTTTTGTTTCACGGATAGTTAAACCCATACTAACCCTAACCCATGGGTTTTAGCACCCGCATATAGATTGAACCCGTGAATATACGCATGGGTTCAAATGTACATGGGTTCAAATGTACGGTCACCGTTTAAATGTATTAGACGTTCAGTATCAAAGTAAAAAGATACTTGTTCAATTTCTAAGTAAATTTAGTTACATAATTTATTTAAACTATGATACGTGTATATTTTTCATTAAATTATTTGAATATGCGCTATGTTTGGCAATATATATGACCATGTTGAACCATGCTGCTGTTCTGTCATCATAATGAAATCGAATCTATAGAGTTACCCTATTTCTTTAAATATGTCGTAATGTTGGCTTTATTGGAGGTCATCGAGAAATACCTGCCTAATAACGAGTCATAAGATCAACTGTAATCAATCATCCTCATAATACTCGTTTTACAGTTCATTCAGATCTACTGTTGCTTGTCTATGCGAACTACAGGGTTTTCGCTATAAAAGCAAAAAATTTATTAAACATTTAATTTTTACAAAGAATAACTTCAATTAATGAAATTATTAAAGGCATATGCTATATTACATTCATGGATGCTAAAAATGTCGTCTGTGCAGAGCAGTATCTTAGTCCAAGAAACTAGTGAGAATGCATTTTGTCTCTGATCTCATTCGAGCTTCCAACTTTCTGCTTTTCTAGCGACCACCCTGTATATTTCAAATGTGGCACCCAAAATCTAGAATTTAACAGACTAATTTAAAAAGTTCCACCGAATAGCACATAGCCGTATAATTATCAATTCATATTTACATAAACATTTGAAAGATTCTCCGTAACATTTCAAGTGCAATCTTCTGATTGGACCCATTTCTTTCAAAAACTTTCCCCCATTTCGACATTGTACATCCTTAGATGCATCAGATGGAATATATATGGGTGGCACTAAGTCAGGGTCGTCCAACCCATGGCCTACGGGTAGGGTTACCATATTTTTTTGACTTCAAAGCGGGACGCCTCCCGTAACTTTACAGTTTCCGATTTTACTCCATTGGCCTACATATAAGCCATCCCGGCTGTCTTCATTGACCATATTGTCATCGAGAGTTCATGCGCATATTCTCTGTCTAAATATCGAGTTCATTTCGAAAAATAGAAAAGAATAGACGCTAACGATACAAATGATCCGAATTTAGATTTTTTTATGTACAGCAAAAGGAATAAAGAATAATGAAATAGTCTGCCGTTTTCAAGCATTGAGAATTGACTTATTTGCCCAAGCATGCTTTTTTGTAAGTAACACCTTCAAAAAAACGTTGTTCAATGTTACATTCACGCAAACGTCCGAACAGGACCAATTAGAATTGATTTGACATGTGATACACACGCTAACAATGTTAGCGGAAAACAACGAAACAAACAAAATAACGCATTCACCTCAGTAAGTACGCTAGCGTTGCGCTACACAGCAACAACAGTAACGAGAACATGTTCGTGTATTATGCTGGATGGCTGAAAGCAAAAGCGGGACTTTTGGCTGACTTGTTGCGGGACAAGACGCTAAGAGCGGGACTGTCCCGCCTAAAGCGGGGCGTATGGTGAGCCTAGTTTAGAATTTTTTTTATCCACTTTCTTGGTACCCATGAACCATAATGAATGAATTAGCCGAATGATTGCTTAGTTTCGTCTTATTTGAACATCTGTCCTCAACCTCGAGGTTACCCAACACTGCAACAGCGTACACTGGTAAAGAGGTACGTTCTACTCGGGGAGAAAGTAAAGTATTTTCACCCGTGAGGTTATTACAATCATAAAAGTTGAATGTATCAAAACTGACAGAGTCAAATGTGCTGTCCACACAAACCAAATTTTATCATAAAATGTTTCCGTATCTTCCGTTATCAAATAACAACGCTAACGTCACCCCGAATACAACCGAGGAATAAATCTTATTGGTTTTGCTGCGATATCGTTCAGAATACAGGGTTGCAGACGTAATTATTATTGCGTCAGAACCGAGTCCATCGCCGAGACCAGCGCGTTCACATGCGATATTGCTAGAGAGTCTGGACGTTGAATGAATGTAGAATGTGACTTGTTGTTATTATATTCATACCAGGTAGAGGAAGGGCGTTAAGAGAGTTTAGATAATAAATAATTTGGTCCAACGTCGGGCTAAAAGATCATACCGTTCAAAAAGCAGGGCTTGGAATCGAGAAAATGTGTCAGCAGTCACACAGACCACGCGGTGAGGACGAGGAGCAAGCAATCACCTGGCTCGATTGCGTAATTATTATTGCAAGGAATCATAGCTGATACGCGGACCGTCGAGGGTAAGAGAATAGTCCAATCCTAATAAATCAATTTCAACACAACACATTTTCGGTCGATCGCAAACATAACACTGTATTGGTGTTTCTTTTCGAATATTGGCTTGTTAGAAGTGAAAACTTGCTAATATTGAATGTCATGATTCGTTTTAGCCCAGTAGCATAATGTGAGGAATATTTAATTATTAATTATGTAATCATATTATATCTGCTTTCTAACGCCAAAATTTGTACAGGGCGTATCTGCGCACCGAAATGCCTTTATTCCGAGCCGCATTTCAATAATATTCATTTTTGTCACGTAGATGTCTCAGTAGAATAATTAAATTATAAAACAAAATAAAAATTTTGATATAGGCCTTCTCCCCCGCAGGCCAACGAGTACGACAATGGTTACTTGCATGTACATGATTGAATTGATGTGTTAAATTATGAGAAAATGGTGAATATGGTTTGCCACTAGCAATGGCAATTGGAATGCATTAATATATCTTATCAGCAAGCAGTAAGTACGCCAATACACATACAGCTGCATAGTAGTAAGTTGTGATTCCCAGACCACATTAAACGACCTTTGTTTAAATTCAGAACGTTCATAAAATAGTAAGTCAAATTTGGGAATGGCCGGACGAGGCGTTGAATTGCGTCGGTTGTGCAATGTAAGCAACAAGCCTATACTAAATAACCTGCAAAGCACGGTAAAAGAGGATAATCCGGAGTTACTTGCCAAGTATTCGTATAAAGCCAACCCCGACAGTCCAGGCGGTTTTGATGAGATTGATATAAAGCAAGGCGAGACTCTATGGCTCCTCAAACGTGGAACCGGAGACAACCATCACTGGTGGCAGGTAAAGAAGAAAGACGAGACATTTGGATTTGTTCCAGCTCGGTATGTAATGATCGTAGAGAAGAAAGTTACTTCACTTCCCTGGCTTAATAAGGAACCCGAAAAAGAAGAGATGAACCCCGGCAACAAATTTGGAATTCCTAAATTTAAACCTTATGTGTCTGCTTATGGGAGTGGAGATGAACCGTCCAAAGAGAAGGCTTCAGTTGATGAGTTTTATTGCGATGTATGCAGCAGAAAATTCAATGGACCAATCCCATACAAAGCTCACATGAATAGCAAAGCCCATAAGGAGGAGGAAGAAATTGCAAAGCAGTATTCGTCCTAGATTCACAAGGCTGAATGCGTGCCAAGATCTCGGATTCGTACAATTTCATTTGCATGGATAATTCCCAGTTATTGCTTGTATCATGATTTTATAATCAAATTTTGCAATAAAACATTTCTTTCATCTTCAATCGTTACTTATTGTTTGGAAGGCTATAAACATTTGAATCGTGGTGCTCCTTAGCAGTCTAGTCCTATCGTATCAATGTGGGTTTCTAAAAAGTGCACATTATTAATAGAATAGTTTCCTAGTGAATAATGGTGTGTATTTGAATGTTCGTCGAATCCTGAAAAGGTGTTAGTCAGGGATGGCCAATTCGAATAAAGTATTCGAATGTATTCGAATATCTCATTATTCGAATATCGGAATTCACGTTCATAAGAATATCGGATATTTGTGTGACGTCACACATTTTCGACGCCGCTTTCAAGACGTTTCCGTTGAATGAAAACATTCTCGATAGAAACTTGCGCGCGATTGTTTTTATCACTCATCAGCCGTAACGTGTTATTTAGGCCCGTAAACGCTATTACGATTGTGTTATTTTCTCTAAACGAAAATTTTCCACAAATTTGTTCCACGATAACGATAACATTTATTTTATTTTTGTATGCGCACGGAATTGTGAATCTGGTAAATACGTTCATAGGCGGCGAGTTTCTAAAGGACAACGCAACTTTTTGATTGGAAAGCGGCAATTTAAAATACTGAAAACAAAACCGTAAACAACATAAGTTTTATTGAGTCCCGCGAAAAATTTAAAAAAACGCTTTTCTAGCAGTGAAAATCACAAAATTTCGTGTGCCTCTGGCACACATTATGTTTGGTCAGCGTTTAGGAACGTATCGTCACTGAGGGCGGGATTTGCCTGATTATCCATTACTTTAATTGCCGTCAAATATTTTCGGGTTAACACGATACAAGGTTTGAAACGCGACTTTTTCCCTGTTGTGAGATGTTATAATTATAATTATTCTGAGGTATATTCAATCAATTTTATTGTGATGAAATAAATTTACTCTGAGATATTTTACTCTGAGCATTTCGATCGAGCGGAGTCACTGTTAACAAGTACATCTAAATATTTGCCGAATTCGCAAAATACGGATAAAAACAATATTTAATCGGACAGTTTACCTCACGTTTTTATTTTTATGGCCGCGGACTGGTATATAAGAGTGGTGAGGATTTTATTTTGTCGACGCAACCGCAGTTTAAATTGAAGACAATTAAATTAATAAGAGCAAGACATTTTAAATATGCCCGTGTTGGTCACGAATTCATCACTTTGCACAACAGAAAAATATATATTTGTTGTTATATTATTTGTTGTAAAAGTCGACTCTTTTAACAGGTGGCATAATCGCGGCGATGAATATGTATTTTTAATTTACTGCTAAACTTTATATGTATATTCATTGTATGAAATGAATTATTCTCTACACTTAACAGGATTTTATATAATTGTTTGAGATTTTTCTAACGGCAATAACGAGTTGGCAAGATTGCAAAAATACATATTAAAATTAAATACATCAAGCAGTTTATCTCGTAATTTTAGGTCACAGATTGCCGTGGACCGAATAGTAATGTTTTTTTTTGACGTAAGAAGAAGCAACCGCGAGTTATGTTGGACACATTAAATTAATATACAAAGATATTTTAGAATCTCGTAGTTGTCATGGATTGAATATTTTACGTAACAGAATGATCATTATACGCTGACAAGACGGCTCTTTTAACAAGCGCGGAATCGCGGTGGGTGTTACAGGCGGCAATGAGAATTTCCGATTTTGAAAATCCCGGCTGCGCGCTGGCAGTGGTGGTCATCTATTCTCTACTAATTTATTTCTAACTCCAAACACAACAATATGTTACACATAATAACAATAAATATACTGGTAGGTAGTAGAATACTCTGGGCTTAAATATTAGAATTTTTAAAGGCAGAATGGATTTTCGATTGTTGTTGCCTGTATTGCCAATAAATTTTATTACTCTCAGAAAATTTTCACAATTATCTGAATACAAGTAGTATTTTTGTCAATTGACTCGACTGTTATCGTAATATCATGGTACCAATGATAGAAAGCGTCAGACAACTCCTTGGCTATCTTTTCATATGGTCATTTGTACAAAGTGAATAATTTTAATGAACTGACTGTGTCACAAGTTGCTATTATTTTTTATTAATAGCTATAAACTATCAATTACTTTGTGTACATATACTGTTGGTCTGTGGCTTCATTCTGATATTTCTATTGAAGCTTATTTCCTAATTTACTGGGTTTTAATCAACTAAAACAAAAATGTGTTATTTTCGATTTTAGAATGTATTCGGAATTCCAGATTCGAAAACATTATTTTAGAATGTATTCGGAATAGTTTAGTATTCGGAAATGGCCATCCCTGGTGTTAGTAACGTGTTTTGCGAGCCCAGCGATCATTCTAATTCACGCGCGGTGCACACAGCTGAAAAGACGGAATTCCGACATGACATTTTTTGGCTAGTGTTTACAGTGGAAGTTAACGGGTGAGAGATCACAATCGCTGAGAACTTTTCTTTATAATATATATATATATATATCGAAAACTTCGCCGATGGGAAAGTGTTTGAAGTAAGTGCGCCAATCACATCTGATGTTCTTTTTTGAATCAGGTATATCAGGTTTAGTATGGACGTGGAAACACCAGACCATATGTGACAGCTCCAATTATTGTTGTACGCATATTAGCAATTTGTAGAAGCGAGTACGCGTTCACGGGGCAAATATAGACGAGCGCGGCTAAGAGACCAAACTTTCATTAACGCGTTTCGACTCATTGACGTTATACATTAATTCCAATTCAACTTGGAGATGGTGAGACCAATCAAACAAAACTTTGTCGACTCGTCTAAGGTGTCTTCCGAAATGGAGTTGTATCAGGATTAATATAACGATTGATTTACAGGCCCTTCTCCTTTTTTAAGCTCAGAGAAGCTTGTCATTGATCCTCCCTATTCGGAAACTCGAAACAAGTACGTTTCCAAAGATTTAGCAACTTCCGAACGACGTTGTTTACCGGGATTCCAAGACAAGGATGAAGAGGTATATCGTCAGCTCATATCTGTAAATTGCATGTGGGATTATATGAAGGTCCTTGATGAACATGCCAAGGAATTGAGGCAGGAGGAACTTCTTGTGAACGATTGCTATGAAGAACACTGACGATTCTGCTTTAGGGCAGCGATGATCGAAACAGTTCCTTTATGAAAACAGCCAATCATGAACTTCACCCAGACGAGAGAAAATGCAACGAGATAGCGATGTACGGCTCTGGTATTGAAATAGCCAATCCATACCGCTCCAGGATTAGGAGTGGAATCAAAAAGCAGCGATAATTTGCAACAAGTAGACATTATAGGCTTCTTTTCCCCACATATTGCTACCCTTATTGGGTGAAAAATATATCGATAAACGATTCAAGACCCCTTTATTTCATTAAATTGCACTAAAGCTCCCCATGGTGGGTAAAGAGCACCATGAAAATGCATCCAGTACCAAACCCTTCAATAAATCACTTGAAATAAACTAAATCACTAAGTTTTGAAACAAATCATCACGTTTACCATTTCATATACAGTTTCGAAAACAGTACTGCGAAGAGAACTTTTAGAATACAAAACAAAAAGATTAATTTAATAGGTGCATTTTGTGAACTTGACAAATACATTTGAAGCAATTTTGCAAAGAAATAGCAGCTTGTACAAAACAACCGAAGACTTGACAAATTGAGAGAACTTTTGTCGTAGAGAGAACTTTTGTCGTAGAGATACATTAAAAGAATATCATGGAATCTCATCCATACTATTTCTATGGATAAGCATATCTATTACTATTGCAACTATAGTATAGAATTGTGGCAACACAAGTTGCAATAAAAAATTAATACAAGACAATGCAATTTTTTTTGGCAGAATGATGCCAAAAGTTTCATATATCCTTCTGGTTGATCAATTAAGCAAATTGCATGAGAGCTAAAAAATTAAATATGTATGTTAGGTGGCCATGAAAATCTATTGTAAGCAGGTATTATATATAATGGAACTAATATTAGAACTAGGTATTAGAAATTAGAGGCAAATACTTCATGTATGACACAACAGTATTTTGTAAATAATATTTTACTTGGCACAGAAACTACATAATATAGTAATAAACAGGCCATATAAATAACACTAAACTATAGTCTGCTAGTGCTTAAACAATAGACAAATCCAGATTTCAAGAACTGGTCTATCCTTTTATACACTTGACAAAATATCATAGTGTTAATTTTTGACCAGATTAGAGAGTGAAATATAATTTAAGATATAGTGATGGTCCAATTCTTTCCAACGTTGACTCCTGGTTTTCTAATGGTCAATTTCTGAATACTTGCATCATAAACAAATCCTAGGTCGCTTTGGACACCATCTGAAAGAAGCAGTGGTAAAAAAGAATTCAAATCGCACCCTTTTTTTTTGCTAACATTCACATTGCATACACAATTTCAAATGGTTGTCTTTTCAGCAACTCTTAGGCTTCCTCCAATATATTAAAATTAGACTAGTTTTTGTTTTTCATCCAAAATGCAATACGCCGTCTGTCTATTAAGTATCATCTTATATCTAATCAAGTTTTCAAACATGGGATATTCTACATATATTATACTAGCACAGCTGGTACTTCTTTCACATAAATCTTACCTGTATCCAAAGTAATTTTACTTGGTTTCCTGGCACCCATGATTACAACTCTCTCCAACCATGATTCAGTTTTATACATGTCTAAAGAGATGTCGCTGAAAAATAAATAGTGATAATCTATAAATGGTTCCTCTGGAAATTAACAAACTTGTGTGCCATGAACTGTTATCAGGGAAAGAAAAACATGAACATTAGGTATAGGAAAATTACAATTACGTCAAAAATAATCAACTGCACAAAAACTTGTGAGTTTCAAATCCATAAATAGTGAACAATGAATTAGTTTTACCGCATGAGATCAAAACGACAGAAATGATACATAAATTATCACAAGGTTGCGAATGGCATTATTATTCTACTTTAAACAGTTGAAAAACATTTACTATTAATTTTATTTTCAATGAACTGGTTGGTGCATATTCAATTAGTAGAGCAACACATGATATTTTTTAATACATTAAATGCAAACCCCTCAGTCCACATTTCTCCAGCACTTTATAAATCAATAAAGTTCTTACTCGAACTAAAAATTGTGTCCTTATTCATTTTCCGAAATGTGTCTATGATCAGTGGCGCAACCAGCGGGGGGGGGGGGTTACGGGGGTCGTGTCCCCCCCGTTTGAAATTCGTTTTTTTTTTATTATTGTTCTACGTTAAAACAACGTCGTTCTACGGTCATTACAATCCGGTGAAAACTACTTTTTTCCAGTGCTTTATCACGTCGACGTAATTTAACACCGCCCGACTTCAATCATACCTTTTTGCTGATAGTTACGTAATAATCGCTATCCCCACGTATATGTTTGTATTCGAAAATGTGATATGTTATCTCAAAAGTAGAAATCGCGCGCTGTCGATGCGAATTGAAAGCGACAATAGCATAATGCTATCTCTCTCTCTCTTGTGACGAATACTCTCGTGCTTCATCATCTTGACGCAATGTAACGCCGCCCGTCTTCATGTTATAATAATGCAGTAGAAACTCTGAAAATCTGGATACGAAAATTATTTTCGGAAAAATATTGCTTCGAAAAACCTAAGATTTTCTACATATGAAAGGCCGAAAACCGAAAACGCCGTAAACATCCTACCGCCCCCGTCCACGTTCTGATTTAAAAACATTTCACAATTATTTCATTTTTTATCGCAATCGAAAGCAGCCATGTGTGGCACGGCAAATAACTAACAGTCGTCGTGAAAGGTTATCAATAAACTCTGACTTGAAGTGCTTATAAGACGTCGAGGACGTTTTTGGTTGAAAATTTTTTACATTTGTTATCGTATATTTCAATTTAGTCAAGATATGTTGTGCGTCTCGGCAATAAACTTAAAAGCAAATCCTACCATAATTAATTGTTTTCATCCCTAGTTTCGATAGTTATCGAACTCAACGGGAAATTTTTTAATTTCTTGCAATCTATAAAAAAAGCTTCTAAATATTATTTGGTTTCTATCGGAGATTTTATCGTTATCCCGAGTCCCGACGTCATTGATACCAATATCGTTCATTTTAAGTTGGAGGTATTGGTTTATAATCAAAAAATTATAACACATAACATGAAAAACTTAAATCAACGCTGACTCAAAAAGTAAAACACGTTTTTCCATCTTTATTCTCCATTATTGGCGAACGGAAATTTGGGAATCGGGTTTAACTGATTTGATTATGATGGTAAACAAAAGTACACAAACATACCATACCGTTCTTAGTTTTTAGTCGTTATTTCTCTGTCCTTTCTTATTTCTATGTGCATATTGAGAACATAAAACGTGTTTTATTATTGAACTCTGCGCTGATTTAAATATTTCATGTCGGCTGTTATGTATTTTTGTCTGTAAATGAATACCGCTAACTTTAACTGAACTGATGTTGTCATCAATGCCGGATGCCGACGAAATCCGCGATAGATATTAAATACTATTTAAGAGCTATTTTATACGCGCTAAATTAGAAGAAATGAAAAAATTTCCTGTTATGTTCGGTCACTATCGAAACTGAGGATGAAAACAACTAATTAAGACACAATTTGCCGAGGACGCCTAAACCATCTCGACTAAGTTAAAATACCCGATAAGAAAATATTTTCAATCAAAAACGTCCTCGAAGTCTTATAAGTTCTTCAAGTCGGCGTATTCTTTCATGTCAGCTGTAATATATTGCCGAACCACACATGGACGACGACGCTAGGATATGTGCGCCATATTCGTGATTATTATAAACACGAAAAAACAGTATTTGAAGTTTGCGATATTTGAATTTTAATTCGATTTGGACATCCCTGCATTAAATTAGTCAGTTTTTAGTTGTGTTTCCAAAAATTAGTTGTAAATCAATTATTTTAATTATCATTATGTCTTCCGGTGAGCTTCAGTTTAGTTTAGAATTTTTCCGGGGTTAGGGTCGGGAAAAGGTCCATTCGCAAGAAGTGCATTTTGTTTTTAGTCTTGACGAATTCACCCAACGAGCAGGGCGCGGCACGAGGGAAACACTGGAATTTATTCAAGCCGTTTTTCACTATCCACGAGGCGCAAAGCGAGGGAAACGTTGAAAATAATTAACAGCTTTTCGTTAGCAATTCGCTGGAACGTAATGAACGGCGTTTTGCTACCCATGAGGTGCAAGACATAGCGGAGCGCCGTTAATGAACGAGTGCAAGGTAAGCGAAAGGCTGGGATTTAATCGATGGCGTTTCCCTTTTAACCATGAGCAATTTATCGTGGTCAGCGGGGCGACACCTAGTGGCGTTGCGACTTACGTCGTGGTTGCTCTGTGTAAATTCCGGTCGGACCCCCCCCGTTGAAAACGGCCTGGTTGCGCCACTGTCTATGATATATATGAAAATGTCATATTATACCTTGATGATAATTTATTATTTTCAAAGACTAAATGCTTGTGCAAAAATTGTTTTTGTTTTTCAAAGTTCATTGAATGTCCATCGTCTATGTATAAATATCCATCTGCTTTACCCTAAAATATGAATTGATGTTGTGTTAACTTATGACTAGAAGGCTACAAAGAACAATAATTAGCTGAGTACTTAGGAGATCCAAGTCTTGAAATAATTTAAGCGAAGAAAATTCCAGCAAAGTTAACCAACCAGTCTTGACAAACTATACAAATAACGATATAAACAAGGCACAAACTTGTGAGTGCGGTGGTCTAGTGGTTGAAGCGTTAGACTTAACTATGACAGCATTGCAGGTTCAAACCCCATGCCTACCCTGTAACAAATGTGGTAGGTAATGCCATACAAGAAAGATTCTGGTATTTCCAAACTATGGTAGCTCCTCAGCTAGCAGTGTATGCATGTACAGAGTCTTGTTCATATCAAGGGGCATATAAAATTCATTGTATGTAAAACATGGAACATGCCTTCTCAAAATATATTCACCCCATTCCCACATGGCTCTTATAAAACATTGCAATGTTAAAGGGGTAAATGAAATTCAGGGTTGAAATATTGACGGCCATATGAAGACATGAAAAAACTATATTTACCTTCGAGTCCAAAGCTACAAATAATGTGATAGGGTCATTTAACATCAAAGTTGAACATCTGCGGACCCTCATTTTACGAGGGATTATTGTTCCAGCTCGTTGGAACACTGGAATCTGAGAAAAAAAAGAGACAGTTTGGTATGATAATCTTTTTTAAATCTGATAATTGCATTGAAACTTGCTCGAACATGCTAGTTTATATTACCTTTTGCAATGGAGTGGCTATCGATACAGATTGAGGACTTGGAAATTTCATGCAGGTATCGACATCATACCAACCCTGGGTACCTGAAAACATAGATCTAAATATTTCAAAAGTGGATTATCAAACATAATTATTGGCGGTGTGCAATACACAACCCCATTGTCGATGGTTAGCTATCATGAAAACTTTTGAATCAGATACTATATATTCAACAGTTATTCAGTTTAACGAGATTCTATTTCCATCATCATTTCCAAAAGTTTTCCGTCTGGGATATATAAATTTCTCATCCCTGCTAGATCTTATATCGGAACAAGAATAAAAATAACAAAATTAAAAAAAACATAATTCAGCAGCTCAGGTAGGATAATGTCTAAGTTTTAAATATATACAATGCATTATGCATGAAATTCCAATTAAAATGCAACTATTAAAATGCAATTTTGTATGTTAAATGGATTTAGCTTTTAAGCACAAAATTCCGGAGTAAATAAATATACCTATAAATTGACTAATTCAAGGGTCCCAAGACAAAAAGGTGCACAGTCGCACACTGGAATAATTTAATTCCGAATATTGCAAAGAAATAGGAAATTCTTAGCATTCAGTAGAAATTTCTTATAGATCAATTAGCCTTCAAGATAAATTTTAGAGAAAGAGAAACATGCACCGCTTTTTCACTTGTACAAAGCGAATGGAATAACTTTATATTCCTCTTTTAACGCAATATATTTGTGATATAAATACCTAACCTACTTTCGATATTTTTCTAATACATATTGACATAAGATAAATCATAAACCTGGTAAGAAGACAGTAGTGCTTGTAGTTCCAGGGTCAACAACAGGTCTGACAAGAAGTGCATCACCAATCATGAATGAATCTTCTGACGCGAAGATTTCACTTTCTTGGGGAAATTCAAACCAGAGTGGCCTCATTACTGGTAACCCAGTTTTGTGTGATTGATAGAAAAGAGTGTACCTGAAGAAATGGTAATAATTTAGTACAACTCAGTCTTTGTCTGCGGTCTCAGTCTTTAACATAGGAATAGTCTTGGTGTGATCCAAAGTTTCAAATTGAAGCTCTGACCTCTGAGGCTTACATTCAACTAGGAATGTCTAAACAAACAATTTTATTTACAATTGATTTACAGACTAAAATTTTTTTCATATGACACATATTCATGTATTTGTCTTCGAACAATGCCTTGTACAAACCAGGGCTGGGGAGCCGGAGCTGGAGTCGGAGCCCGGAGCCATGGAGCCGTTACATTTTGATGGAGCCGGAGTCGGAGTTGGAGCCAAGCTTTTCATAACAGATGGAGCTGGAGCCGGAGCTGGAGCTACCAAAAATTTAGTGGCTCCAGGCTCCAGCTCCTAAATATCTCATTTTTTGTTTTTCAAATTTATAATTTTTTTCTGATAGCGTTACAAATGTCAAATCTTTGTCAAATCTTTTCTTTTCAGCTTATAATTCATTTTAAAAATTTTAGTTCCTAATATTTTTTAAAAAGTTCCCAGTTATTCTGTATGTTTGAAAGTTTAGTATCAAAATTTGAAGCGATTCGCTTTTATCAAAATTTTGATTCTCATTTCCACTAAGCTGCAATTTTTCATGATTGCCGTCAAGCTCAAAAACCCTAATGGCCAGGGATTTTCGAAGAAGTGATTTTGGAATTTCCATGTAACATATTATGATTCTTTCGTGGCGTTGAATATCCAATCCATTTCATATGTCTTCAATTCTGTTCAACGTATCTCGAGATTGAGTCGTTTTACGACAAAAGAAAGGTTTAACTACTCCAAAATGCACCGCAGCAGTCACCTATCATAAAAACGTATGGCAAAGTGCCCCATTACGGTATATCTTGTTTTGATCCATAACATAGCATGTTCTGGAGAAAAGTCTCATCAATTTCCGTTGTTATTTTTTGGATATATATAAAAGGTATATCGCGAGTAAGATTGTTTGCGTTTAGATTTATTTTAGTGACTGTATAATTTTCAAAGTCAACCGGTAAATAATATGTCGTAGGCAAAAAAAATAATGAGATTAACAAGGCATTTTATTAGCCGTTGGGAGTCTCCTAGAACAAAGTTTATAGTGTTTTCCGTTTCATTTTAGTATCTTATAATAACTCTCCAATGTGGAAATTCGGCTTGCGAATTGACTTCTCTATTTATCTTTAACATCTCATCGCTGATAATTATGAAAACGCCTCATTTCTAGAACCAACTTTTGGCCTGATTTGGGAGAGGGGGACGGCATCTAATTGGGTGACGATGGTAATTTCCATTATTTTGGGTCTGCTTATTCAATTTGTACCATAAAATACTGCCTCCCCGTCAGGCCAGTTTAAATTATCATGAGTTGAAGGGCTATTGCCGTTACTATCACATGTGCGTTGCATTTCGTGAAAAGCGTCAATTGTTTTCGTCGCCATAAACATTAGGCCATAACATCTTTTATTTCAGTGTTTATTTTTCCCTTAATCACAATTTCTCAAGACATATGTTTTGTGTCACGCACCATATTTGTGAGAAAACGAGTTATTACATAATCATCGGTGATCAAATTCTAAGATAAATAAAGAAGTCAATACGCAAACCAAATTTTCCTGATTAAAAAGCGACATTATAAAATACTAAAAATTAAACAGAAATCACCATAAGTTTTGCTTTAGAATGGCCAACGACAGATTTTATTCGGCCGCATGATTGCCAGTTATGTTGAACACAATTAAATTAAAATAAAAAGACAGTTATTATGGGTTAAATATTATGTGGTAGAAAAAGTCATTATGAGCTATTTTACTGAATGCGCAAACGCTGCGACCATTCAAGAAGCCGATTTTCCTTCCCGTCTTATTGTGGGGTTATATGTAAAACCCTTATATGCTGGGTATACCGATTCGCATATAAAAATACAGCATATAATAACTCTCAGTGGATGCACAAGTTACATGCAGGAACAAAAAGGAATTATCATGACACCGACTTGAAGGGTGTTTACAGCCTAAATAACATGCCACACTTGGAAAACAATTAGCAAAATGCGTTATTGGGCTGCACTACTGATAATGGCTATGGAACCGGAGCTGGAGCCAGCTCCGGCATAAAAAAATGAAGCTCCGGAGCCGGAGTTGGAGCTAAAGTTTGAATACACTGCGACTCCGGAGCTGGAGCCGGAGCCATCATGATTTCGAACCAGCTCCCCAGCCCTGGTACAAACGGCCACTGATATCTAACTACCAATATATGTAAGGGCTCCGTTTTTCGAAGAAACAAAAATCTTTCCGGTTCAGAACTGCCTACCCAATTTCGTACACCCAGGATGAGGGGGTGGAAATCTGAGATTCCAACATGGCTAAGGCTAACAATTTTACCACAGAAAAAAAATATTTTGAACACTGAGTAAATTAGAATTCTGCATGAAATAGCCATCGGCGGTATTTTCGCTTATGTGATTATATGGAAATCACAATCTAGCTTTGTTATTATAATATGTGAATAATAATATCGATTCATTTCATTCCCCCTAATCATAATATAACATACCAATATGGCAACAGTTCATATCTCCTTCTTAGACTTTCTCGAATAGTGTTTTTATATATTTCATCATACAACCACGGCTCTCTTCTTGGTGTATCGATATGTGCATGAGCTCTCATGAAGGGCTGATAGGCAGCAGCTTGATACCAACGTGTCAACAATTCTGGGTCTGGATTTTTGAAAAATCCTCCAATATCGGCTGTGGATAAAATAGCAGTTTATTGATTAATTAAATAATAAATGGTCATTTCATACTGCCATAAAAATCTTTAAATATAAATAAGAAATTATGCGCTTACGATTGCTCAAAGATTACCGGTATATTCAAAATAGAATTTAAATTAAGGATAACACAAATCTTTAATCTTAAAATCAATCAATATTCGTTGTAAAGGAGAAGAGCCATATTTCACATTACTAAATAACATTGCCTATTAGGCCAAATAACTTTTGCCAATACTAAAATAGTAAGTCACTGATAAACATAGTAAGTAAAATCATAGGTTTATGAAGAACCTACCTCCACAATGTGAAATTCCACCCAATCCAACAGATAAAAGCATTGGTACACTGTATCTGAGATGACTCCATTCAGCAGTATTATCACCAGTCCACATTGCACCTAAAAGTATTTGGCAATCAATTACCATAAAAGCATCCATCAAAATAATATGTTGTTCTACATCAGTTAACCTGATTGTAATTACTTACCAAATCTCTGACTGCCAGTGAAAAACGATCTGGTCAGAACAAAAGGTCTTTCATTTCCATTCGATCGCACAAGTTGGCCTTCTGCTGTTGCCCTTTGCTAAATAAATATAATTTGAAAAAATTTAATAAAAATGGCTGATGTTTGATAAAAGCAGGTAACAGAAAGACTCTATTCTATATAAATGCTTAAAAATTTAAATCATCATTTGATAAGGTGCATCTCTACTTTCGCAATGACCTTCTCCACAAGATTTATGTTCGTTGTGTGACAAACATTGTACGTTTACAAAAAAAATCAAATTTATCGAAAAACTATGCAATATTAATTGCGATGATGAGGATCGCAAAGGACAATCAGTCATTGACACCATTTTGAAACAATGTCGAATAATATTAAGTATATTAGTATAAATAAATACAAAACAAATTGAGAACTAACGTTCATGAGAGAAAAGGGAGATTATATGAAATAAGTAATTAACAATTAACGACAATTAAAATTAACGACAATTAAAATTAGTTGGTCTTTTCACGATATTTGCCATACTTTTCATGATGAATTTATATCGAGTTGATAACAAATATTAATTGAATGACGAAATATGACATTTATGGGCTAGGACGTCACACTCACTAAAACCTACCAAATACATGCCATACAAATTGTGCACATGTCTGTGTTCCCAACCACCATGATGAATATTATCTTTAAACATCGTGATTTCAGGCCCATTAAATACACTTGGTTCATTCATGTCATTCCATGTAAAAAGATGTGGGGTTGAACCTTTGTAAAATTCAGAAGTAAACTGCGATGCCCACCATGCCCTGAAATTCATTGAAACGTTGATTAAATTTTTTATCCAAATAATAAGCCTGATCGATCGATATCTTAATTTTAGTGAGTCGTAATAAGGTACCGTATATATATATATATATGCCACAAACTGGAATGAGAATCAATGGAAATTCAACAAATAAAAATGGAAATCTAATTGCCATAAATGCACTTTTTAAAAAATTAAGCAAAATCAATCAGAATTGTGGGAATCTTCATTTTTATCAGGTTAACGAGATTCACAAGTTGTTCATCATTTTGAAATTGCACAAGTAAATCTACAGCAAAAAAAGAATAGAGGTAACTTATTCACCTGACATCTGCTCTTGTGAAATCGAGGTAGGCTGAATTACCAGGCCAGCACCAACCTTGAAACTCTGATCCATGGGCATTTTTAACAAATAAATCTTTGCTTTGAGCTTGGCTATAAAATAAATGATAAAATAATTTTATTTTTGTGAAAATATATCTCAAAAAAAGTTCACAAGGTTTGTTAACCTATAAGTAGATAACTTATACCCAGACTACCGAACGTCCCATCATTATTGCAAGTTTGCAACATCAGTAGATGACTATTGACATAAGATTTCAAGTCCGTTATGTATGCCATTGAAAAACTGAATATTTATTATATGAATGTTTTTCCTAGTCCATCATACAAAAACTATTGCTGAAACTCCGAATAAGTATGTGTAATAAATTATATTCTAACCAAATAAATATCAGTAGTATTTTAACTTCAATATTAGAAAAACATAAATCAGAATGGGATGGAAATTGGAAATATATACCACCATCTACATTACATATCTCTCACAAAGCCACAACACAAGAAATAGAAAAGTACAAGCTAGTTTCCTTGCCTGTAAATATGATAACCAGAGTCAACTTTGATATGTGGATCGATGATTGTCACCATCTTCCTTCCCTTAGCAGCAATGTTATTTTGCATTGCTTCTGGGTTGGGAAATTTTTTCGAGTCCCAAGTGAAGTATCTGTTAAAATTATTTCATTGAATTAGGAAATGAAAACTAATTATTCATAATCGCTTCTGAATTGGGGTTGCATGGAATAATAACCATAGTGATAACTCACTCATAAATAGAATTTTCTACAGCTAGAATAAATAAAAGTTTTAAGATTTGCTTTTTAAATACACATGCTGTAGGAACAAAAATCTGAACATTTGTTAATAATCTAACCTTTTTCCATCAGTATGTTCAATATCCAACCACAAGCAATCGTAGGGAATATCGTTTTCATCGAAACCAGAATCCACCGATTTCACATCTTCTTCGTCATTGTAATTCCACCTGAAAATATTACAAATTCATGTCTACAAGAAACATAATATATATGACCTATATGTAAAATAACAATATAATAATGTCCTATAATGGAATGATATGCTCAGCATTAACTGCCTTCTGCCAACTGTGTACACATTCAGGTATTGAAGTACATGAACTTCCCTATTACTCGTGGATATACCTGCATAAACAAAAATGAATCACCTGCTCTGATGGTATGCAATAGCCCAGTGAGGTGGCATGTATGGCATCCCTGTTAGTGATGTATATTGATTCATGACATCATGTGGGGTTGGGCCGAGGAAGAAGAAAATATCGATGATTCCACTTTCTGACATCCAATGAACATTAACCTGAATGATTTAAAAATCAAAATATTCATTAGTTTCAGCATATTTCAAGCTGCTGCTATCAACCATATATATTTTTTATGGTACAAAGACTAAATTGAAATTATGAGAACATTCAGTTCTATTAAAGATATTTAAAAACAAAAAATGAATCTATCATTTCAAATTGGAGGAGGAACTTGTTTTGGCCCAGCAATATGTCTGAGACATTATCACATACCTCAGGCACATCTTCTCCTGCAAAATATCCAAATACGGTTCCCATCACACCACGGCTATCCTTACTTGAATCAACATCGATCCATGTTTCTGCCGAATTCAGCCATAACATTCCAACTGTTCTTTTTGAGCTGCGAAAAGGATTAATAAAGCAATATGTAAATAATATAGATGATAGAGTATGAACTGAAATTATACTATTGTCACTTACTTATGGCCAATCATAAATGGAACCGAACCATACAATGCAGCTTTACTGTCTAATTCGTATTCAAAGACATCCAAGTTGTAAAGTCTGTATGGTTCTCCTCCAATAGTAGATTGAAGAGCAAAATGATCTGCATGTTCAGGAATTCCATAAACATGAGCAAAGTTGACAAAGCTAACGTCGGCTCCAATCGATTCAGGACCTGTAAAATGTCATTGATCCTTCATTGAAATGAAAAAGTATCAAAAAAGGGAAAATAGTAATCAGAATATTACATATCAACTAAAAATAAACTGGTGCAAATCTTGATATTTACTTTTGCATATTAAGTGGACAAATTTCCTTGCTGAAAACATATGTTCTTGTGTAAATATATGTGACTGTGACACACTACTATTGTGGTGTGTACTCTAAAACCTGAAACCTTTAAACCTAAAGGTCATTTAGCAGAACTACTAAAATAGACAATATTCTTTGTGTATATTAATAAAAAAAATATAGTTTTAAGAAATTGTTCCACCTCTTGGTTTACTGTCCCTGTGACTCTTGAAAGATTCTTCCCACATTCCATCCTGGTTGTCTGGATGATCAGCAAGAGAATCACCTCCCTCTTCTTCTTCCTCTTGTTGTGCTTCAACATCACGTTTTTCAATATTTGATTCTTCGTTTTTACCTGCCTCTCCTTCCTACAGGGACCAAAACAAACCAAAATTTCACGCAAAGACTGGAAAAAATTTTCCATTTTCAAAAACTTGCTCAGTAGATTTAGAAATTAGGTATTTTTACAAGTCAAAGAAGAAGCAGTCCAATCACACCTATGCACATCACAGATCAATTGAAAATGTGCTATGAAATGTAATTTCACATGATATCTCTATTATTCACATACCAGTTCACATCATTTTGAATTCATCTAAATTTTGCAGACCATTCAAGGGTGTTTTCAGTATCTGAATTCTGAATATCTATATCACAGCACTATGTTAGTTTATATTATCTTACTTCTTTCGCAGCCCCAGCGTCTTCTACATTTCCACCATCAGCAGCGTCTTCGGAATCGACTGGCTCTCTTTTACCATCCTCTGTCCTGAGAAATTAAAAGTATTTCATTGATATTTTGTGAAATCAAATCGAAGCTTACATGATTGCCTAGAGTTTAATTGAAGATAAAAGTTGAATGTCTAAGCGTAGTGTATGATAATACATAAATAATGAAGGTAACAAGAAAACCAATCAGTTTTTGCGTCATAGTTCAATCTAATAGTGCGTATAAAATAATTTATGAAATTCTCAAATACCATCTGAATAAACCAGTGATCGCAGCTCCAAGTCCACCCCCTCCCTCTTCAGACTTTTTATCTTGTTTGATGCCTTCCTTCCTAAAAACATTTAGTGATACCGTTTCAGACAAACAAAAATTGATCAAGAACATTTTAAAAAAAATAGTTAAATAGCAAAATTAGAATTGAAAACCATCGGGAATGGGAAATTATTTACCAAGCTTTTTATTATTAAATGTATATATGGTATTAAAGAATATTACCCGAAAATGTTATGCAAAATTTAAAATAATTAAAGTAAACTGTTTAAAGTATTATTTGAAGTAAAAAATGTGTATAAATATAAATAGCTTACGTTGGTTTTTCACGAAGATGTTCTATGTGAAACATGTGCCGTGAATTAATGCTGAACACAGGTTCACCTTCAGTAAATATATCTAATCGAAATGGATCGGCCATCAGTTGTATTTTATGGTTACCACTTGTCACTACAACTGTCTTGTTCTCTTCTTGCTTTGAAGCAGAAAATCTGAAGACAATAAATTTGGAATTTTCAATCAGATTGTTATGTAATGAATACTACAGTCAATAAAAGTTATTCAATACAAATATCTTATTAAGAGTATTATCATCGAGTATATAAAGAAAAACAGGTGTAAATACCTTTGATTCAATTTTGAATAAGCATATAGACAGAGGAAATGTCATTTTTTATTTTAGTTGAATCAGGCCAAACAGATTCAGATAAAATACTTTTATCTATTTTCAACTATTTATGACAGATTACATAATGTATCAGTGAGTTTATCTACAAAGGATTCTAAATGAAACACAATATTCAATAATTGCGATATCGCTATCAAATTCTGTGGACTTGAATGAAACATAACAACTTACTGAGTAGAAATGAGATTTTTGACAATGACATCTGGAACTTCATAACGAGGTTTGATAGGACTTGCTTCATTAACTTTCAGTCGCACAGTGTTATCAGTTAACATGAATAATTGCATATGAAATAATTTCGAATTTTCTACATTTGTGATTTTTATTGAAACTTCTTGATTGGGAATTATTGAAAGAGTTGATAAATCAGCGACATAAGGAGATTTAGTTGGCTTGTAGTTTCGCTGTCGCCTGTGATACAAATATAACAAATAAAAAATAGGAAGTTTTGTGTTATATGTAGCCCTTGCCATATTCCCATAAATGATTTTATGCATATTTTTTCCCAAAAATATTCCGCCGTGGGGCTACATATTTTTATTCTGGATTATATCATATCACCACATTCAGGCTTTATTTCACAATTTAAGTAAAAAAATAAGAGGAGAAATCTTGATATTGCAGAAGACAAACACTAAATAAGTAATCAGGTACAAAAATGAATATTAAAATGATTAATATGTCTAAGATATGTTAACTCTTACCGACAGAAAGCACTTTGGTCACATTTTTTGAAGTTGTTTGAATCAACAGCATCAGCATTTGGACTGGAAGTAAGGAAAATCAGGAGCAGTGACAAGCAGAAACAAAGAAATCTGGAACTACAAACACAAGTTATTATGCCAATCAGTGACATTGTCATTCTCAGGAATTTGAGATTTTTAAAGTACAAATATCTGCATATCATGTAATGTTTAATCATTATAAAGCTTTTTTTTCAATATAATATGAACACCCACAATTTAATTCGATACATGGCATCGGTATTTTTGCAAACCAGTTAATACTGTAATATACTTGAGGAGTTGACTGACAGACTGAATAATGCAACAACATACAGACATACGGTACCATACCTAGTGAGTACACCAAAAATAATACCATACTACAGTGCTGTAACAGTGTAACTTACCTACTGCTTAATACCACACTGACATCTGCCCCAGATCTTGACATCTTCTTTAGAAAAAAAAAACGAAGAAAAAGTTTTATCCTTTATATGGTTCCAGCAATTCTTGGACCGACAGCAATCGTTCCGTATTTTTGCAGCCCAGCTTATATCAACGATAAAACCATTCTTATAACGACTCTACAATAGAAATTAAAAAACACCGATGAGACGGCGATGTACAACCTGTAACATAACCGTAACGTCAGATCATGTAGGGTATCACAATATGCTATTATAGTTTTGGGAAAAATCAAAAAATTATGTAGCGAAAAATGCAAAAAAAATGAGTCAGAATGTTAGCAGATCATCGCTATTTCAGCAAACACGTTATTCGGTCCGACCATTAATCGCCGACAAACGCCTCTACTGGAACGGAACCTGATTACAATAACACGTCACACCATGCGCAATGGCATGGCATCAAGGCTATCAATTATCCCCCAAGCCCCCCACCCCCACCACCACCCTAATTTCAGATATGACACCATACTTTAATACTTGAAGTAAATAAAAATATGTTTGAATATTCAGAAAGTGGCTCATAAGTCGTTAAAGATGCTCAGTCAAATCGTAAATATATACTACTACGGTCAAATACATCACACATTTTTTAGGTTGAAGTTGAGTTGAAAGGCGATTTCCATTACTGAAGGCAAAAATCTATAGCGGATATTTTAATATGATTTACAGTTAATTTTGATGACCAAAAACTACCCACAAGGGTATGGAAAAATATTAAACAATTACTAAGCTTAAGAATCGAACCATGGTTGGCTTGTTCAATCCGTACTGTCTCGTTTTTTTTGTCTCAGATATATGATAAGCATATATATATATATGCCTTTGCCAAACAGAAAACAAAAATTATTACCCTGCGTGAGTTCGCACTTCGCAGGTTCCAATCCCATGAGGGGCTAATTATGTGCGAGAGGATCGCAGGACTCCTCGTCGCCGTAGGGTGATTCACGTGAATCGATATATTGGTTTCTGCTTGCCTATAGCCTGGTTCATAAAGATAATTTGGAATACAACATGTCATATGATACAATATATAGGAAATGAATAATTGCGCATAGCCTACTAATTCCAGCTACTTTATTTCTAGCATCGCTTTTACTATAAGAGCTGTAAAACATTCAAAAGTAAATTAAAATAAAGTAACTACCCAACATTATACATCAGTCGTTTGTTACAAAACGCACCACGTCCCGATCATCTTACACAACTTTGCCTACTTTCAATTATGCAAACTTTCAGGCTTTCGGCTATACGGCTCGAGTGTACAAATGAGATGATTGAAGCGTACGTCGAGGAAACATGCCTATATGGTTATTGCATTTGTAAGATATTATCATGGATATATATTCAAGTATGAAACAAATTTATAGCTCCAGTGAGTGTAAATTATGGCAAAAATGTTTGAAATCGTCGAATGGCACTTTTTTACATCATTTGCCGATATTTATGAATTTTGATGTAAATTTCTCGTTTGTCCCATGTTTGACGAGATATTATTACATGTTCCCGACAGAATTTTTTTAAAAAACTTGGTTCGAAATGACTTCACAGCATGTTTATTTAGAATACCTTACTTAAAAGCGAGGCCGGCTATTGTAAAGTATAAATCTTTCGGGTAGAATACCCATATTTATGAATTTTGATTTAAATTTGATAGAAATTTATGACGTGTTCCCGACATACAAATTTTGTAAAACTATGTTCTAGAAGACTTCCCAATTTGGTAATTTGGGATATCTTACTTAAAAGTGGGGCCGGCAAACGGAAAGTACAGAATTTCTGGTGGAATACAGATATTTATGAATTTGCGTGTGAATACCATGATTGGGCCATGTTTGACGAGTTATTACTTTATGTTCCTCACTTACAATTTATATAAAGCTTGTTTCGAAATGACTTCATTCTTTCAGAATGTTTCATTTAGAATTGAGGACATTTATTTGGAAGTACAGAATTTTTTAGTAGAATACCAAAACAGGAAGACATTCAAAATACCGAATAACTGAACATATTAGAAGTATAAAAACTCAAAACAAAGATCTGGTTGTTGGCGCCCATTTCAGTCAACCGGGACATTCGCTTGAATATTTTAGTATCATTGGCATTGAAAAACTATTTCATGACCACATTTATCGAAAGAACAAGAAATCTCAATATAATCATTTCTTCGGGACACATGAGCCACAAGGGATGAATATTAAGGAAGTTTAAACCAATTACAAATCTTTCATTAATTGTTTTAATCAATTCTTGTACCTAATATTTTTTTCCTAAAATTGGATCATGCATGGCCAGACATGCTAATAACAAACAAAATATTACATTTGACACACAGATTATTTAACATGCGTGACTCCCATTTTACACTGATTGTTTAAATATGCATGTAACTGTTTTTCTTGTTAGAGTTGAACTATGTATGTCTGAAGAAGTCTGACCTTGGTCAGACGAAACGTTACAAAAATATATATGTGTTAGTGTGGAGCAAGACTTGAATCACTTAGGATTGTTATCTCTACTCTTGCTACAGCATCCTTGCAATATATGCATACGGATCCACCGGCACGAAAGCATAGAGGAAGGATAAGTAGTTAGTCTCACAGAAACCAAATGATCAGCGCGGTTCCATGGACCTTTCCCCGAGCATCGACTTCCTTGTTTACTTCGTGACATTGGCCAATCAGCAAGATGCAAAACGCGACGTAACAATGCCCCCTTTTCGCATCCGCTCAGACACTTTTCTCACTCAGACAGATTTTCAAGCGTGGTTGTAAATATTACCTCGTTTTTGCGTTTTTGAACTCTATTCGTTAGTTTTCAGTTGTGTTTCGGAAACTTAAATATAAATCAGATAATTCAATGATCACTCTTTCTTCCTAGGAGTTTTAATTTAATTGCAGTAATAAAAATTAGTGTAGAAATAGCTGTGATAGATTAGCCTGAAATTCTATACCGGTAGTTTTAAAAAAGAGATTGTTGTATGCAATGAATCATAATGATGATTTGAAACACATACCCCATTTTACAGGCGCCAACTCGGAAAAGCACTCTTAAAATAGCCCCGAAAGTTTTGCAATGGTAAAGTATAGGAAGAATTTTTCGGGGGTCAAAGGTCGGGGACAGGTCCATTACATTTGAACCCACGTACATTTGAACCCATTGCACCTATGGGATTTTTTTTTGTTTTACGGATAGTTAAACCCATACTAACCCTAACCCATGGGTTTTAGCACCCACATATAGATTGAACCCGTGGATATGCGCATGGGTTCAAATGTACGTGGGTTCAAATGTACGGTCACCGATCAGCGCATATATACCGTCGTGCGTTTTATCGTGGTTTTATACGCAATGTTAAATCGTTTTCTGGCAACCCTATTTCACCCAAAGTGACTTTGATTTTACAATTTTACCGTTCCAAAAACGAGAGAGATGTCTGCTAGGGTAACTTTGGTATCAACTACCATTCTTCTGGTATCTACCAATGCACAGACGTTGATCACCCTGCTGCCATAGCAGTACGGTACCTAACTGTACGGTATAAAGTTGAAAAAAATGTGTTATAACCAAAATTTTTAATTTTTGCACAATTCCCACAACTCGAAAAAGTTCGGAAAATCGCAGGTAATCACTGAATTTTTTTGTCGCGTTGAGTTCTCATATTAGTCCTTCATTCAGTGGTAAATTCATATTTACCATGAATTCACGATAAATATTGTAAAAATGTAAATATAACTCCTGTTCCTCATTTCACTATTCAAGGCACACCCTGGTATAACACCCGGTACAATGCTTAAAACGCTTGGCTGGAATTTGGGTACATTTCGAAAGTTAATTCAACAGTTCAATGCATGAGATTTCAAGGTATTCCATCATTATGTTCTGGTATCACTGTATCAGTCGTACCACCGTATAACTGTAACTCAAACCTGCACCGGTACCGGTAAACTTTCTGACGATAAAAAATTATGAATACATATATAGCCTAAATGCTGAAATATAAGATTATCAGTATAGTATTGAGATTCAATTGAATTTTTTGTAGTAGTATTCTGGTATATATAAATGAGTGTATACAGGTACGGTATATCGAGTATCAGTGGCTGCCAAGTTAATATTTCTTTGTTGTAGTCTAAATTGCAGTAAATAACGTTACTTGTACAACTGTACAATATGACACCTAAGTTGAAAAAACAAAAGCTTGAACTTGTGTTCGATACAAAAGAAAGAGAAACGTTTTTGACTGGATTTAGTAAGAGGAAACAAGCAAGAAAGAAAGCTGCGGTTGCGAATGCTGAAAAACAGTACAGGGATGAAGTTGCACGAATCAGAAAAGAAAAACGTGAAAGGATAAAACAAAGACTGGAAGAAGTCGCTTCCGTAAGAAGGGCTAATGGAATGGAACTTGCTCAATTGGTTAGGAATGAAACAGAAAATGAGAAAATTTTAGATTTACCACAGCATATTGTTACAATTACTTCAACTGAGGAGATGGATTTAACAAAATGTGAAGACAATGTGTATCTTGGATCGAATTCAAACTCAAATTTTGTTGAAATTGTGGATACACAAACCAATGAAGATGAACCAGATAATGAAAGTGAAAAACCTGTTAAAAATAAATTACTCAAAACATCAAATGAAAATAAAGTTGAACCTAATCGAAAGTAAGTCAATGTTCTGATAATAGCAAGGAGCACTTTAAATCAATAACCTTAGACATTAATAATTTATATAGCTACTTTACAAATTCCGGTTTAATTTAACAATGCGAGCACCAAAACAACATGAGCAATACTTGCCATTTTATAACTGTTGGTAATAACTGATCACTTTTCTAGCAAAACCATACATAGGACAATTTTTACAATACTATATCAAAACTAGAATATTTCATAATGATGGCCATAGGTTAGTCATCAATCTGATCTGAATTTGCTGGAAACGTCTTACTTCAGTAATATATCCCCCCCTTTTTGTATTTTAGGAAATCGGTTTCTCGTGTCGCGGAGTTTGCCCGAAAAACACAAATGCTGAAGACTAAAAGGAGAAATCGTAAACATACAACAGAAACTGGAAGAATGTCTAAATCACAGAAAAAGTTTTTGAAAAGAAGATCTAAGCATAAATCTAAATCGTCTCAGTGAAAAAACATTTCCTATACTTTGCAAAGATGATATTCTAGGCTAGCCGAGTATTGGAATATATGCCATTTTTGAAGATGGCATGACACCGCATCTGCTCAATTACGAACGTATCGTACTCAAGAAAAACAAAGTGCAGTAGCATATGTGGATATTGAATAAATAAATCCTTTGCGGAAGAATTGTGACATAGCTGGATTTCAGATTTTGTGCAATGGAATGTTATAAATAAATTTTGACTCAGTGCATATACCGTACTTGTTTTTAAAGATGGTGGCGGGCAAATATCTTAAGTGAGGCTCAAACAATAGATGCCATTTTAGGGCTGGACAATGGATGCTATTGTTTTCGGTCATTCATCGCAGTGCCTTATGGGGATTTAGCACACAACTGTTGAGACACCCCAATATTTGCACTATTATTTATATTAGAAGAGAGATTCGGAAAGTCACGTTTTTAAAGAGAATCTTAGCCAAACATATAATTGCATTGCATAAAACCAAAACATATAATGCATTAAATTGTAACTGAAGTAAACGGTCATGTCCGACAAAAATGTTCCATGTCACAGATGGCAAGCGATTTCCACCTGACAAAATTACCTACCGACTCAACTTCGTTCCAGGGACTTCTCTTTTTTTTCAAGTTTCATTTCTTGACTGTCAACTCAGGGCCTAGTTGTGCTAGAAGACGTAAATGTCATTGCACAGCGATTGGTGTGTTGCTATGAAGTTATTTTAGGAGTTTCCAAAGTTGACGCAAAATAGTGGCTATTGACTCTGTGAACATTAAGCAAGTTGGTTGCCAATTGGTAGAGGGGGCACATCAGTGATTGGCATGTGCACCCTCCACCAAGTAATTTGATTGCGGGCTACACACAGTGCATACTCTTTACTTACATACTGATTACATACCCCTAGAATAGCAGGACTTTTTCAGATAAAAGTTCTTGTTCTGCTCTACTTCTCTAGCATGTAGAACAGTCAAATAATTTATTACTTTGCGTAATAAAACTCAATAATTTAGACAGAATATATTTTGAAAACTACAAATAAAAAAGCACATATAAGATCTCATCATGTTCAATAGTTATTTAACCAGTTGAAATAATTTCGCTCTTGAATCGTAAACAAGGTCAGATAAGTATCAGCCAGATTATTGACACATTCAAACAAAGCTGTCTTCAGTTAGATTATATGGCCTGAATGGTTGTGGAGGATTGTATATCTTTGGCGTCTTCAACATATCATCAGATGGAAGAGTCACTTGAATAAATTTTCTGGAACCTGGGCAAATTTAAAACGAAATTGTGAGATCTTGCCTTTATGTTCATATAAATTACAGTCTACCGATGTAGATTATAATTAAATGAAGGTACCCTGGAATAATTTGATTCAATCAGAATTTTCGATGCAAATCTGCTAAGGGAACAGATCAAGTTATACTTGAAAGTCAGAGTCCCACTTTTGCAAGACAAAACTCAAAATGCCCAATGATTTGGTTCCGAAATGACAAATGATGCGGTTGAATTTTACAATGGCTTCAGCCTGAAGAATTTTACCGAAAACAATTAAAAAAAATAATTATTTGTAATAGGCTCTATTGATTGAAGAATGTGCTGTGATTTTTAATACAGTTTCAATACACAATACTTTCAATAAAACAGAAAATATAGGGAAAGGACTGTGGGCAAATAAACATTTAATCAGGCTCAATTTTGTTATTTATGCTACTGAATTTAATGTCAGGATTTATTTGCTGATAAAGCATGGTATATGATTTATGTTCATCTTTATCATATTTTAGTAAACTTAACTAAGACAAGCCTAACACAAAATCTCAGTGTTGGTCAAAGCTTACATAAGCGCTGCTGGTTATTTATACAATCTAGTTGGAAAACTTACCCGAAGTGCCTGAAGACTGAGAAGATGGTGATCGAACATCCGATCGCTTTCTGATTAAATTCTGCAATCTTGATTGTGCCTCAGCATGCTGTCGATTGAGTTCTGCAATTCTATCCTCCAAATTACACTATAAAATTTAAAATAGCTCATTTACAGCAATCTGCATTAATGAACACAACACTTATACAAATAATTTCGAAAACTGATGAAGCCTTCAGGTGAGGTGTTGTTTATTTCATACAAGTTATATACAGCAGAATATTTGATTCTCTACTCACTTGTGTCTGCAGTATGCTATTTGAAACAGTCTGCGGAACTGTTTTAGAGACGTCAGGTACAGCAGTTGGTCTGAATGGAGGAACCAAATTGTCTTTAGTCCTGTGAAAAGGCTGTGAGATTTGTGTCCTCCCAAAACTGTGGATGTTTGACTGCAACAAAGCTGGAATGTTTTTATCCAAAGAAAGATAGGAATTATCAGAGATGTTCACACAGTCGATTGATTTAGAACTATTTGTGTCATCTGCAACTCTTTGACTATATAATGGTGATGTTGTGAGCTGATTGATGCCACTACTCTGTATACTTGGTCTGGTTGTGTCCCCTCCAGTATTTGCAAACATTGAGCTTGTTATTGTTATTCCTGATATAGAATCATCTGTTTCATTAGCACCATGTGAAGGTATCATAGGATGAAATTCATTGTCTTCTTGTCGGGGTGTAATTGGACCGCTTACTATTGAAGGTGTTCGAGAACTGCTTGATGCAGGTGTAACTGGACCTGTAGGACAATATCACAAATTGCTGCAATTTATACTTACTCAGACATATGCGTGTCGACTACACCCTGTTTTAAATATGTTTTCAAGGTTGAATTAAAAGGTACAATGCAAAAAGATATCAAAAGCCGTTATATGTCAGCTCTGTTTTTCCCAGGATAAAACTTGATGTATATAAGCAATATTGAATCTCCCCCCTACCATACTAAACGGTTGCTATAGCGGGAATTTAACGAAGTTTCATTGATTTCCATTTTCCATTACAGAAAATTTATGGCCTAGGTTTGATATTCTGGAAGTAAAAACTTGATACTATTCAGTCAATCCATCTTTGGCAACTTCAAAACTCTACTCACCTGATTTACAGCTAGATGCAGAAGATTGACTTCTCTCAGACTCTGCAACTTTTCCTGCCAAGAACCCGGCAACTTCTGTCAATTCGTGAAGGCGGTTCTGCGCTTCAGCATGTTGTAGCTGTAAATGTCTTAACTGACTTTCCACAGAAGCAACGGTTTGTGCTGCTCCTTTTGATGATTGGTGGTTCATAGAAGAAATTGGTACAGTGGGCACCTGATGTTCAGGCTATAAAGAATGCAAAATAATAACATCAGTGTTATAAACATATTAGGGTGGTGACTGGTGACAATTGAAAATATATGTCAATTTCACTTGCTTGCTTTAATCGCTTATAAAGAAATTCAGAGTAATATTTCACATTGAACTTTTAGATGGTGAGGGATGAATAGAAAAAAATATTGTAGGATACCACCTCCATTCACCCACCAACCATTTAGGGTGCAATTTTTTCGCTCTAATGTCTACTATTGAAATAGCCATCTGTATGCATTTCATATCAAACAAGCAAGCGTGTGGGTGACTTCTAATTATAATCTAAACTGCATAGAATTGAATCAGTTTCAAAAATACCCTTACTTGTGAATTTTGTGCCTTCAATGCACCCAATAATGACAACATATCGGACTTGAGTGCTTCCTCTTCGTGATCCTTGTCAGATTTCGCACCTCCACCCTTATGAAAGAGAAATTTCATATATTATTTTATCTTGTTACCTTACAACATTATCCAGGAACATATTACACACAGAACATAGGTGAAGAATATTTCCTTTGATATGTATTCTACTCACATGCTAAAAAAAAAATTGTAAATGAGAGTGACATACAATTTGTATTAAAAGATGATCAATTAGAGTATTTATTTTTTATTATATTTAAACCTAAAACATACGTAAAAATTATTTATGCATTATACAGAAACTTCTTCACTCACTATAAATATCCCATTGTTTTCATCCAGATACCATGGTCAATTATATCAAATGTTGGACCTAGATAAAAAGTTATGAAAAATCTCAATGCTGTTGAAAAGGAAGGAAAGATATTTTACCTCTATTATCTGAATATTTTCTAAGTTGGAACTGGGTGCTGTAAACTTGTTAGAAGTTGCATCACCTAAACACAAGATATGAACACAGGTAAGCAATACTATTGAAACACTTTCGGAAATATGAAGACATTAATAAATTCAACCTTACCAGCTCCATTTACATTCTCATCTTTTTGTTTCTTGAGTTGTTCTAACTGATCTTTTAAATCATCCATTTCTTTTTGCATTTCTTGTTTGAAATCAACAAATAATTTCTTTGATTCCTCTTGTTGGTTGGAATAGTCATCTTTCAAAGTTTTGATTTGTTCTTGAGAACTCATTAGTTCAGCTGTCAAAGCATCAAGCAATGCTCTCTGGTGATCACTCTGGTCTTTAAGTTCTTCAATGTGACTTTCACTTTCTATTTGCTTTGATTCAGCCTATAATAAAAAATAAGATATAGTCAAATCGATAGCCGATAGTTCAGAAGATATGGTTACTAAAGCACATATGTGTAAAAAAAAAAAGGATATGATTACTTATGAGGAGAGAGAAACAAGGCACACGGTAATTTGGTAAATTTTAATTTTATCATCAGGCATTTCAAATGTTATAAAAAACAATCGATCTCTCTCTAACTACCATCAATTTTAAGTTCAAATTTGGGCATCATTATTACAAAAACTTGGAAAATATATTATTTCACCATGATTTGTGTAAGAATAAGACAAATAAGACAGAAAATAGTATGTAAACATTCTCTATAAACCTCATTGACATAAACTGTTAATCTTGTTACTGCATCGATAAGAGTAGCCGTGAATCCTGCAAGTCCGTCACACTTTATTGATAAATTGGAAGTATCTGATTGGTTTCCTCGTCTATTTTCAATTTCTGAAATGTTGCTTGCCACTGATGCCATTGCTTCTAAACATGCAAAAGTGAAAAAAGTTAGAGGAAATCTTAAAAATCCCATAACAATAAGAAAGTCACAAGGCAAGAGCATTGTACATGGGAAAGGACAAAGAATCAAGTACTGAATATAAGAATAAATTCTATTTAAAAGAATTTGCTCACATCAAAGGTCAAACACACACAGGTGCAAAGAAAACTCATCAACCACTGAAATGCAGACAGCTATTGAAACTATGTGTATTTATAGTAGAGAACCAGATAATCCCCACCTTGGGACTTGTTTCAACATCTGTATTATTATGCTAATTATATATTATTCTACTTAGTATTCACATGCACTTTTTAAAGTTGCATTATTGAAGAGTTATTTTTTCAAACATGAGTTGCTTGTGTGTTGTTAGTCCTCCCAAACTTTGTAGTTGTATAACTCACATGTACTTACAATAGATATCCTACTTACCCTGTAAATTCTCATATGTCATGTTACTAGTTGATATATTAGCACGAGGGGGTGGTATGGTCGTCTCTGCTATTGAGAATGAGACAGATGGTTGATTTTTCTTCACATCAGCTCCTATTTTACTAGCAGTCATTTTCTTTATCGTCGCATCAATCTTTTTCCTTCATCATAAAATAATTTTTTTGAGGAGTTTCAAAATATTACTTCGATTACTTAATTATATTCAGTACTTGAATGTAGGCTATAGTTATTTTCAGTTAAATACCTACAAATAAATTTTGTTTCACTTTTGCGAGCGTTATTATTGTAAATGAATCAGATATATACTGAAAGCCCTAATTTAAGCATATACAGTGCAAAACAATAAAATTCATGCAGAATAACATTTTATGAGCAATTACGAAATCCTAAGTAGAGCAAATGTGATTCTTATACATATTAATTACGTGTGTAAAACTATTTAAAATGTTCTAATGAATAGCTTTAAAAAAAGAGAGATTTTTTTCTATAATAAACAAAGCAATATTACATACTGTGGATAATCTTCACTTTGAGCCTCTGATTGACTTTCTAGTCTGGACATTGTACGCTTAACCTCCTCAGTACAATTTAAAGCTGCATTGAATTCAGATGATTTCTTGCCATTGTTTACAGGAGTCATCAATTCATCACCTATTCATATAAAGATGCTAGTTATGTGATTGAAATAAATACAATCCCAAAAATTGAACATGGACTATCACTAATCAAAACTGCAATTAGTAGTAGAACCATGTATACATATTTTCAGTCCCACAGAGTTTTCCTTCCATAAAGCAGTTTAAGCGATAGCTACCAATATCATTTTTAAATAACTCCTAATGCGATAAAAATCAAAAACACGACATAAACAATCTTAAGCCACCTCGCTGTCGGAGAAGTCTGTGGAGTGAAACATCTACACATACACACAGGCTGATTTTCATTACAAAAAATTGTTTAGTAGATAATTTGAAAAAATTTAGCTCTTATTTATCTGGAACAACAATTTAAAAGTTAAGACAAAGGCTGATCAACAGCAACGATCATAGCTGACAAAACAACATTATATAAGGTGAAACTTACAATCATACATAACTTCAGCACCAAGTTTAAGATTTAAACTTCCAGACTTACTGTACTTATTATAATTGATATTATATATTGCAGGATTTATATCATTCATATATTGGTAATCTTATCATGGTTGACAATTTCAATTAGTACAGAACTAATTAAATAACTACCGGTAATTAAATTCATACTAATTAAAAGTCATATAGAGTAACTTTGCATCATTCCATGTTGTAGTATCGCTTACCTGTATCATTATTTTTAGGTGGCACAACTGATTTATTGAGAGATTCTCTCAAAACATTTAAAAATCTTTCATAATCGACTTTTGATTCAAATTTTTCTTCTTCACAATCATCTTCCTCACTACTTAACTCCTAAATATGTATAACCATCTTTAAGAATGTAACAAGATGAAAAAAACTTTGTTAAATCAGTAAACCAGTAATTCAATATACCGTATTTACATCTGACTTTAAGTTTACAGGGCTTTATACCGAGACGTGTGAAAATACAGATTTGAAAACGATGAAAATATACAGAAATGTGATTCAACATAGTCAAGACAAAAAGGTTTTACTTATTCTACCACTCAATGAACACTGGTATGAAATTTCAATTAATGGGTATATATCATAGCACATAATTTAGATACCACGAAAATTAGAACAGAATTTCAAGTATAAAGGTTTAAGCATCAACAAAAGGTTTATATTCGAAAAATAAGTCAATAATTACAGGAAAATGAAAAGTAAATTGACGTTCTACCTCTTCATTAAGAGCTTGCTTATCCATGACAGACTCAGACAACAGGCTCATCTGTGTTGTTGGCTCATCTTGAATAAGAACTGGTCCGTTTCCTGGGTTCATTTTAGATCCGGGAGCTAATGTTACATTTGGATGACCTGAAGCAAATAATAAATAAACGAGAATATCGGTCGGAGACCGAAGACTTATCGATCGAAACTGTGGTTTCGCTCCATGACTCTATAGTGACTGACACCGCGTGTCCCATCAGTAATTAATTAATAACTCGCTAATTATACGACATAATTCATCCAAAATCAATAGGATTCTGGTCCGAGATATGATGAATGCACATGCAAAATTTGGAGCAGATTCAACTACGCCATCGTTCTAAAGATCGATAAGTAATCAATATATACAATGAATAATAATAGTAATCAGTAACAATTATTATAGTTTTAAAAACTACTACTACTTCATTCACCCAAGGCATCAGTGTTACCTGTAAGGAAATTATGAGTGCGAAAGTGCTTCTCAGGTGAAAAAAAAGTGCGAAAGTGCATTTGCCGATTTTAACAAGTTAGGTGCCCTAGCTTTTGTTTTAACTCATTTCACACAGCATAGATACTAGAAAATACACTCCTTCGGTTAATATTGCAAATTAACGAGTCTTTCTGTTAACGAAGTTTCATTTAAAACAATAAAATTAAAAAATAAATAAAACGGAGGTCCGTAACACATCAAGTTCATTAGACTTCCATTTTGGTAATTTAGTTACTGATTACACTATACTATTATTATTATTATACTTATACACTTGTTCGAGTACTTCGGACAATTTCGAATTTGAAATGAAAAGACAACATGATCATACAATTCCGCCAAAACCCCGATGGTTACCAGTGAGATGATAAATAAATAATTTCTGTTTATTCATTCAATCAACTTTAGCAAATCATTGTTCTGCAAACAGCCGGGGTGCAAAATATTTCCGCCCAGTGATATGCTCACGAATATTCTCGGTATTAATATCATAACCTCGCATTTACGTCTGTGCAAAATATTCAAAAACCGAATCGAATATTGGCGTATGGAGTGTTGAAATCATGAACAAGAGTAGAACGTAAAATCAATCGTGAATTTCGATGTAACAACGCACACTGCTTCGTTCAAGAAATGCGCCTATTATCATCGGAAATGATTACATACGTTATATTTTGAGTATTTTTTGCACTAATAATTAGGGCGTGACCAGGGATGGCCATTTCCGAATACTAAACTATTCCGAATACATTCTAAAATAATGTTTTCGAATCTGGAATTCCGAATACATTCTAAAATCGAAAATAACACATTTTTGTTTTAGTTGATAAAAACCCAGTAAATTAGGAAATAAGCTTCAATAGAAATATCAGAATGAGGCCACAAACCAACAGTATATGTACACAAAGTAATTGATAGTTTATAGCTATCAATAAAAAATAATAGCAACTGGTGACACAGTCAGTTTATTAACATTATTCACTTTGTACAAATGACCATATGGAAAGATAGCCAAGGAGTTGTCTGACGCTTTCTATCATTGGTACCATGATATTACGATAATAGTCAAGTCTATTGACAAAAATACTACTTGTATTCAGATAATTGTGTATATTTTCTGAGAGTAATAAAATTTATTGGCAATACAGGCAACAACAATCCAAAATCCATTATGCCTTCAAAAATTCTAATATTTAAGCCTGAGGTATTCTACTACCTACCAGTATATTGTTATTATGTGTAACATATTGTTGTGTTTGGAATTAGAAATAAATTAGTACAGAATAGATGACCACCACTGCCAGCGCGCAGCCAGGATTTTCGAAATCGGAAATTCCCATTGCCGCCTGTAACATCCACCGCGATTTCGCGCTCGTTGAAGAGCCGTCTTTTCAGCGTATAACGATCATTCTGTTACGTGAAATATTCAATCCATGACAACTACGAGATTCTAAAATATCTTTATATATTAATTTAATGTGTCCAACGTGACTCGCGATTGCTTCTTCTTACGTCAAAAAAAAAACAATACTATTTGGTCCACGGCGATCTGTGACCTAAAATTACGAGATAAACTGCCTGATGTATTTAATTTTAATACGTATTTTTGCAATCTTGCCAACTCGTTATCGCCGTTAGAAAAATCTCAAATAATTATATAAAATCCTGTTAAGTGTAGAGTATAATTCATTTCATACAATGAATATACATATAAGTTTAGCAGTAAATTAAAAATACATATTCATCGCCGCGATTATGCCCCCTCGACTTTTACAACAAATAATATAACAACGAATATATATTTTTCTGTTGTGCAAAGTGATGAATTCGTGACCGACACGGGCATATTTAAAATGTCTTGCTTTATTAATTTAATTGTTTTCAATTTAACCTGCGGTTGCGTCGACAAAATAAAATCCCCACCACTCTTATATACCATTGCAATCCGCGGTCATAAAAATAAAAACGTGAGGTAAACTGTCCGATTAAATATTGTTTTGATCCGTATTTTGCGAATTCGGCAAATATTTAGATGTACTTGTTAACAGTGACTGAGCTCGATCGAAATGCTGCCACTCTGATTATTTTTAGATAAAACTGTTCGAAAAATCCATAAATATGCTGTAATATATCAGAGTGAAATTTATATCATCACAATAAAATTGATTAAATATACTTTAGATTAATTATATTATATACATCCTCACAACCCGGGAAAAAGTCGCGTTTTAAACCTTGTATCGTGTTAACATGAAAATATTCGACGGCAATTTAAAGTAATGGATAATCAGGCAAATCCCGCCCTAAATTAGTGACGATATGTTTCTAAACGCCGACCAAACATGTGTGCCAGAGGCACACGAAATTTTGCGATTTTCACTGCCTAGAAAACCGTTTTTTAAATTTTCGCGGACCTCAATAAAACCAATCATTTTTAACGGTTTTATTTTCAGTATTTTAAATTGCCGCTTTTCAATCAAAAAGTTGCGTTGTCTTTAGAAACTCGCCGCCGATGAACGTATTTACCAGATTCACAATTCCGTGCGCGTACAAATATAAAATAAATGTTATCGTTATCGTGGAACAAATTTGTGGAAAATGTTCGTTCTAGAGTAAATAACACAATCGTAAAGGCGTTTACGGGCCTAAATAACACGTTACGCTGATGAGTGATAAAACAATCACGCGCAAGTTTCTATCGAGAATGTTTTCATTCAACGGAAACGTCTTGAAACCGGCGTCGAAAATGTGTGACGTCACACAAATATCCGATATTCTTATGAACGTGAATTCCGATATTCGAATGACGAGATATTCGAATACATTCGAATACTTTATTCGAATTGGCCATCCCTGGGCGTGACGTTATCAAAATCGTCAAGAAAGTGGTGAATTTGTAAATTCAGTAAATAAAATTGTAAATTACTGGGTAACATTCTAGCTATAATTGCCGCCGGGGTATTGTTTTGTTAAAAAAAACATTGAAACTTGAGGGAATTAGTTACAATTAGCGCCTGACCCTCCATTAGGCACAAAAGCTCAATCTTTTCAGTATTAAGTCGCATATGTGAAATATCCTTCAAGAAGTGCTGTTTATTAACATCATCTCGTTTCATGACCACACAGAAATGCTATTACTGCCGAATTATTTAATCACTATTTTAAATCAACATTCAGGATTGACACAATCGCAGATTGGCGAGGTTTATCTGTGAAATAATACAGACACCATAGAAAAGCATAAGAAAGTAAATTATCGTCTTGATAAATATTTGCATCGCGATATCAATCATAATATCACCATTCGCTTAAATTTACAAACCTTGATACGTAATATCAAAGCCACTGCAAATGCTAATTTGGGCCTGGAAATTAGTCCTTAATGTCTTTACCAGCTGTTGCCGATGTTAAGGCACGGGTAAACCCGGAATATAAAACTTCGATGTCCGCCGACCCGCAAGATATCATTGTTGCAAAAAGAGAAAGGGCGGGAATATAGATTGCCAAATCCAGGATAACGTCGCCAAAACAAAAACATTTAGCGATTATAACGAAATAAACCAATAGAAAGGCTTGGTTGCAGATTTTTTAATGTTAACACTGCAAGGCATACTTCATAGATGGATAGAAGTTTAAAAAAAAGAAAAAAAAGACATATATTTAATAACAATAATTTTGCCTTTGGTTCATCAAAAAGAGAATATTTGCCATATATTCAATGTAATATATATATAATATAGAATCAAATAACTGTGAAATTGAGTAGGGTAGTGAATTAGCTGATTGATTTGAAGTAATGAGTTACTCTTAAATTACTATTGGACCGGCAACCCAAGTTTATACCGAAATTCACACATTTATTAATATTAATGAAAGTTTTTAATCTAGTCGATTTACCTGATTTTCTATACGGAGCTTCATGGAATATAGTTTTTACAGAAGACATCGTGTTATCAACTCTCTTTAGAACTTCATTCAAATCATCATGATCATACAAAACCTGAAATGGATACAGAGATTAATTGATAATTAAAGAAACATGTAAAACTCTAAGCCAGGGGTTCTCAACCTGGGGTTTGCGAACCCCCAGGGGTTCACGAGAAGATTTCTAGAGGTACTTGGACGCCAGTCGAGTTTTTGTGTGTTGCTGTTTTTTAATATCCTTTATTACTAGGCTTACCATACGTCCCGCTTTAGGCGGGACAGTCCCGCTTTTTAGCGTCTTGTCCCGCAGTCCCGACAAGTCAGCCAAAAGTCCCGCTTTGGCGTTCAGCCATCCAGTATAATACATGAACATGTTCTCGGTTTTTCTGTGTAGCGCAGCGCTAGCCTACTTACTGGAGGTGAATGCGTTTGTTTCGTTGTTTCCCGCTAACATTGTTAGAAAACGTATCGCATGTAAAACCAACACTAATTAGTCTAAATTCGAACTATTTGTACCGGTATCGTTAAGGTCAATTCCTTTCCAATTTTTCAAACTGAACCCGATATTTGGACAGAGAATATGCGCATGAATTCTCGATGACAATTTGGTCAATGAAGACAGCCGGGATAGCTTTAAATGTAGGCCTATGTAGTAAAATCAAAAAATGTAAAGTTACAAAATCACAGCTGAAGGGTCGTTGTCTTCAGAGGCGTCCCACTCTGAAGTCACAAAAATATGATTACCCTATTTATTACTACCAGGAGGGAAAATGCGTGTGGATTTGAAACTAGACGCCAATTGAAACGTAGATTTTCCCTGATGTTGCGTTGTTGTGATTGTGACGCAACAATGTGAAATTCACGGCTTTGCAGGCAAACTGTGTAATCTCAAAATACAGCGTGATGGCAGGCATTGGAGGAAAGTGACTATGCTTAATAAAACTTGGGGGAGAGATTTTGGGAATTCATTGGTTAGGCGGAGGACAAGGGCAATAATATCAACACGGAGATTTAATTTAGTTACATTGGAGTCAATAAATTGTTGTTTCAAACAAATCGTTAGTCATATATCACAACTCTTACCGGGGGTTCACATTGATTGTTTCGTCACTCGGGGGGTACTTGACAGAAAAAGGTTGAGAACCCCTGCTCTAAGCAAACAGATTTGAGAAATTTACTGACATGTTAATAAAATTACAATGGCAGAGACAACTAATCAAATAAGTGGCTTCACAGGCATTTCAGTTTACCATAAATTATAGGCTTAATTAATCATTCAAATGGGGCGATGATCTGGTTAGAATTTTACCCTCTTTTAATATAGCAAGCTTCTTCATTTCCAATTCTACTTGAGCTGGACTAGCAGGATCTAAGAAGAGTCTTTTAGCTCGTTCTCCGAGAGCACGCCTTGCAGCTCCAGCATTTTTTGACTTGTGTATAATTCGTCTTCTTTGCTAAAAAATATTGTAATATGCTACTGGATTATCCGAGACAATCCATAGTTTTGAATTCACAATTTCGATATACACAATGCAATCTAGATTAAGCATGATGGTTCAAAGTAAGTCTGTACAGCTGTATGTAAAAGGCAGAAATATCACCGAAAAACTGATAGAACCAATCGGTCTACACATCACCAGATCACACTATCATTGATCATTGCAACCGAACTTAGTTTTTTCTACATTAAAAATAGTATTGTATTGGGTCCCAATAAATTTCTCATTTCAATGGATCTCTAAAATAGGTTTTCACTTGAAGAAAATGTCAAACAACTTACAATTTCTTCTTCTGATGCTTTATGAACTGTTAGATCAGAAACCGTACTCTGAAACATAAAAATTATATTAACTTATTACCACAAAATTAACAACAATTCATTTACATACACGAGACAAATGAACTTTTGAGCATGTCAAAAACTGTTTGATAAATCAATGAATGTAAAATTGCAATGTAGAAAATTTGCTAAGTTCTGGAGTTGGTGACCTCAAGTTTAGCAGTTTTACTCACATCCCACTCTTTATGATGCGCGCCCGCTGGTTTTCCACCTCCGTTTTGGTAATACTGACATTGGCCTTCTTGATTCGTCCTTTTCGAAACATCGTCTTTTCAGAGTTGCAGAACAATCGAACTAACAAATCTGCAGACAGCAAAACGTCCGCCTTTCCAAAATAACCGCCAACTTTAATGACCTTTGGCCTCAATTTGTATGTATTTTAAAGTAGCAGTTAACTGCTGCACTTTTTATATTTATTTACCGTTTGGAGTTTGGGCATAGTCGTTATTTAGTGTTCTTCAACCCTTTTTTATCGTGGCATACCGTACCTTCCACTAAATTTTAAGAAACTCTCCATACGTTACAAAATACCAATGTTTATTTAAGACTTAAAACACAATAAAGCGAACACGTACTATTTCTTTTATCAATACCTTTCCTCTAAAATCTGTACGCTTCAAACCTTACTTGGGTTTTATTTGCTTTCTCGATCTATCATCAGTGACTTTTTATTTTTTGTTTTTATCTATTATTTATCGTCTATTGCTAATATATGGAGTCGAAATGAACTTATACTTCAACGGGCTAACGTTAGGAATACGCTCGCCACCGCACCTCTAATTACTCTGCGTGAGTTCGCAGGTTCGAATCCCATGCAGGGATGGTTATGTGCGAGAGGATTGCTGGACTCCTCGCCGTCGTTGGGTGGTTCACGTAACCGCTGGTCGGTTACGGCTTCCCCCACCACCAAGTCCATGCTTCCGAAAAAAAAACAATACAGTAAAACTAATCCCATACCCGACTTGGAATGCTAACCGGACGAGAGGCCGTGGTTCGCCATATGGATAAGCCGTCTTATCGGCTTTCCTCTCCCCGGGATAAATATGTAAATCCTATCCTATCCTATTGTTAATCAAATCAATTCCCATATTGTACTGCAATATCATCATGCAATCTAATAGGCTAGTGTCCGCAAGTTATAAATTTGACTGACTGCCTTAGCGTCATTGGGAAGAATGTACAACGTAGATTAAACGAAGTGCATAGCAGCCAAAATTGTCAACCCAGACATGTGACCACATTATCTCTATAATTTGTGATGTAACAATGTGCCCACGTCGGTTTTTGACGTCAATGACATTTTATATTTCATGTGCGCTCCGTTTGCATTATTGTCTCCACTTGAATATTTTATAATTTATCATATTGGAGTTCAGAATTGGAGTACAGCGTACACCCTTATGGTCCGATATACACTTGGATATACCGTATACCCGGTTGAAATGCATTGTCATAGAGGATTAGGGTTTTTATTCTCTGTGATTGAAGATGCTTCGCAGAAGTTTTCTTTTTAATAATGATATCTCTGCATTTTGTTTGTTTGTCAACTTTTTTGTACTTATGCCAGAGTACCGAAATATAGGATTGATTGATTGATACCATGTGCCATCATAGGATTTTTTGTCTGCGGTGCTACAGAATTACAAAAAAATTAGGTGCCAACTAGGAGCGACGATTTGAAATCGAAATGACATTGATGTGTCTAATTAATTATTTACAACTATGCCTAAATCACGGTCTATAAAGTTCAGTGCTCTTCAACCGGGTATACGGCATAGGGGTACATCATAAGTTGGGTATACAACTGATTAAGGGTGTACAGACTAAGTCAGGGATTTTAAACTCCAATATAATAAATCATAAAAATATTCAAGTGGAGACAACAATGCAAACGGGGCGCACATGAAATATAAAATGTCAATAACGCGAAGAACCGACGTGAACACATTGTTACATCACAAATTATATAGATAATGTGGTCACATGTCTGGGTTGGCGATTTCGGCTGCTATGCACTTCGTTTGATCTACGTTGAACAATATTCCCATTGACGCTAAGGCCATCAGTCAAATTTATAACTTGCGGACACTAGCCTATTAGATTGCATGATGGTATTGCAGTACAATATGGGCTTAAAAATTTCTTGTTTATTCAAGCCTTAATAGAACTCTGACTGAAAATAAATCATGTTAGCAACTCGAACGACAAGTCCCCGTATCCGTGGTGCAGACACCCGTCAGTGTAAAATGCCTGCACCCACAAATGTCCATTTGTGGTAGGCAAATGCTTTTGCAGGCAAAACAAATAAAATAATACATTTCAGGGCCTAGGTTTAGAAGAATTTGAAAATAGTACAAGCATATACTGAAGAAGTACACATCCATTATTTCTTGTAATATTGGAGCCTAAACAGCGTCAGAGCTCTGGGCTGTTATCATTGAAACAGCTGATATTTCAATCAGCGATGTAGCCAAAGGAGCTAAAACCACGACCTGCCTATACTGGTGCATGTTCAATGATTTACAATTTGATTTGAGCATAGACTCCATAGAGCAATGGTATTCAACCCTTCTATCGTGGTATATCTTCCACAAATTTTCAAGAACTATGTATACCTTACAAACACCAATGTTTATTTAAGCTGTATATGTAATCAAGTAAATATCTTGACGTCCATCTCTCTTTCTATCCTCTTCCTCCCGCCATTTTTTCTTCTTGTTCAAGTTGTTGTCATGATTTTCCGCATTATTAAAAGATATAACAGACGGGCGTGAGTCTAAATGTCCGTTCTTGATGTTATCACTAATATTTTGTGAATCGTTTCATATATTTTCAATAAGATTATAAGTTTGTCTCATAAATAAGTGATTAGTAGCAGTTGTGCCAAATTTAAATAGTTTATTGTAAGATTACAATAACAGGAAAGACCAAACAGGAAGTATACATCATACATTGATTTTATTACATATATGAAATTGAAAGGTCAATAAAAGGCTAAAATACAAACACAAAAAATTGATTTATAATTTTAAATTCCGATATTGTGATTGTGAAAAATATAACAAATATATGTTAAAGCAGAATTTTTATTTTCTGATGTAATTTTATGCTATTAATCAGAAAATTTTGATAAATACAACAAGTATCTATTGATGTTTTGCTAATAGTTTACAATAAATCATAGCGAAAAGTAGTCCCAATCAGTTTTCATCTCCACAATTTATAGTGATTGTATCCTCAGTAATTTTGTTTTCGTCACGTTTTGGAGATGGTGGATAGTATCCATGTGGAAATTTGTCTAGTGCTGAAATGATGCAACAATACATACATAACTTTAAATAAATACATACATTTATATATATTGCCCAAGAAAATATTACAAGAAATATATTTTGATCAACACTCGCCAAAGTCTGGTCATCATCAAAGTAATAAAATCAAGTTCCTTTGCTGACATATTGAAAAAATGTTTCATATGTGAAAATAAAACATAAGATGTGAATGTGACAAATTGTACAAGTTTTTTACCTTGTGATTGAAGAGGACAGCCTTCAAGGTCAAACTTCACACAAATTGTCTCATCGCCAATCAGATTGGTTCCAATAAATGGGATCGCAAATTTCACGTGTTGTGCTATGATTGGAACATCAAATGGATGAATCAGATTCTTCTGCAAAGTAATTCAACATCAGTAAAGTAAATTGCCTTACATAAATCATTAAATGTTATATTGTTTATTTCGATTTAGAGGTCTAGGCCTATTTGATCACAGCAACACAACAAGGCAGGTTGGATAGTTTAAAATAAAATGAAAATACAGTCAAAAAATTTAAGTACCATAATACCATATCACATTTTTGTTTATAAACCTTACCTGACTGAAGTTGAATGACGTTTTTATTTCATTTGAATCTATGATGCCATAGGTCATTGTCACTTCTTCAAACACTATCATTTCAGATATCAACATATTATAGAAGCTATGCATCGTTGTATATATTTGTATAAGAGTTATATTTGCAGGGAGAGTCAAGTCAATATCAATCACCTGTAAAACTAGGCTATATGGGTACAAATTGCATAGCAAAAATTGTAACAGATAAAAAGAAAAACGATGCAAACTTTGAAATCCCAATAACTTGTTATCAGGTTGTGTGACATCATAACATTAATTAAAGATCTCCAGTTGCTAAGGAAATATATATTTTAATAGAAGAAAACTAAAAGATCCAAAACTGGGAAATGTATGAAAAGAATTTGGTGTTTGTCTTTTTCAGTCCTTGCCAGAATAAGAGAATCGTTTTCATTTACAAAGTCCAGATATAATATCAAAATAGCATTGGTAATTTTAGCTACTTACAGTCTGTCTTAGATAATTCTCATTGATATTTAATTAAGCATTACTTAACCCAAGTTTGAGAAACTTTTGTTTGTACTTTAGATCTTTTAGGCCTGAATTTGCTTCTTTACACTAGAGCCGTAAGCTATTGTCTTTTCATTATTTTTATAAAGCAGAAACTGATCAAGATAGGAATTTGAGATAACTATCAACTAATTGGATTGTTTATTTCCGAAAATTTATTTTTGTTCTGAAATTTAAGAAAATTGTTCAACTAAGGTTACAAATCACTGTTCAGAAACACATATATTGATCATCACCAGATCCAAACAAAGTATAAACTCAAGCACTAACGATTTCATTTTCTTGTTCTACTGATCCAAAACAGTAGTTTTTATTACTGTCGTCATGAATAAGTAATTTTTCTGTATTGAGAGCTGGAATCATTTGTTTGAAATTGACATAGAAAATTCCAATAATTCCCAGAAGAGACGAATGACAGCTCTCTGAATTGCAAAAGTATACAACTGTTAAAAATAATACCTAAAAAATAAAATTTAGTGGATCTTTACTATAATATCAACCCTTACCAATATTGTGGTATTTCTCGTAATAGTCGAAAGTTCCATTATCTACTGACAGTTCTACATTGTTCGCATCATTTGTTAATAAACAATTGCTTCCGTCGAAAAGAAATATCCTGTAATTTTAATTTAGTTCAATCAGTTTGTGTATTATATCAAACCTAATTTGGCAGTTTTATTTGTTCAGTACTTTGGTTTCTATGAAAGTAATTACAGTACAGTACTATTTTGTAAAGGTATTGAAACAAACTAAACAAGAAACAAACCGAACTAACATAAAAGTAGCTATGAAGGCGGGAAATAATTTTTCGTTTTCTATATTATGTATTTTTGTGATAAAGATAATAAAATATTATTGTTTCAAAGTGAATGGAAAACAAAACAAAAAATTGTGATACCTGCAGTCCGATATTCCCCTGCTTCTGATACATGTGTTGGCACATGAACTGATGTCAGAAGCGGCAATTGGGCCACTAATAATTTCTGTTCCTGAATATTTTATTCTGGCTTTTACATTAGTTAGCTCGATCTTCTGGAAATCTTTAAGGGCTAAATGTACAGATATAAGCCAATTTAAGTATGAGCTGATAAATCACTAATATAGTATGTCATTACATTATTGCAATAAGTTTCTAAAAGTATTAAATGAACTGGCAGTTTCAATATTCATGTTGCAATCGTGATTTTAGGTGAATTTGAACATATTTTCAGTTCCCATGAATCTTGTTTATAATAAGAATGATTCAAAAAATATATATATATTATGGACGACCATGTCATACCATTGTGTTGTTGTGCAGGAAATTCACAAATAAAATGCTTCTTAATGGTACAAGGGATATAATTCAATGGAGTTGATGAGGCACATTTTATCACAACACATTTTGAATTTGAATCTGAAGGAAATTTCTCCAAATTGTGATAATAAACAAATGATTGATCCACCCATTCCAGAAATTCGGTGTTCAATCCTGCATATACATATTTGATAAAACTCAGTTGAATTTGTAAAATGAAGAATAAAATGGCTCAAGTTTAATAACAATACAAACAAAAACAAATGAAAAACTCAACTCATGATTCAATTTGAATCAACAAAAATAAGTCAGAAAGTATATGTATATAGCACAGCACATAATACAACAATAGTATAACAATAAATAACTTGATCAAAGGAACATTATTTCATTGGGCAATAGAAGAACCCTTTCAGGATTGCGTTTGATGAATAGCTAACCAAATAAAATTAATAGCACTGCATAGTGATAATAATGCAGCTCTTAAAGGTAAATGGTAATAATTGAATTGACCACAAGCTTATCAAAGGTGCAAGGCATTTTCAAACAACAAGCACAAGGAATATTGTTTCAAACTATATAGAAATTCTGTCTAAAAAATTGGTGGTTTTACTCATACAATAACAAATACATCCCATCTGATAACCAGCAAAAGGTTGCTTTCTATGGTGGTATTTGCTAGTATTTTACATTTTTGTTTGAACTCCTGAATACAAAGGGTTTGGATATGCTTTTAACTCACACAATTAATAGATAAACTGTGATACAAATCCATGCAAAAATTTGAATCATACTGTGTCATTTTGCATAGAGAGGCGGAAATATTTTAATGTAAATAAGTATACATGACAATATGAAACAATAATAAAACCTGGAACACAATTTCTTGACTTTACGTAAAACTGGCTTGATAAAAAAATATCAAATCAAACAGATATGATAGAGATCGCAAACAATACAAGATAGAAATGATAAAAAAATTAGATTCGAAAGTTTGATGTCCCTAGCTCTAATTGTTATCAGCCATCAAAAGATGCTTAAAATCAGTTAAGTCAACATTGAGAAGTATCTAACAGTAGTTTCATAATAAATTTAATCTCACTATTTTGGCAAAAACTGAAGCTATTTTTATTCTATGGTTTTCGAACAAGTATTTAGCCATTTCTAACGAGGTACAGAAAACAATAAGTCCATCATGATGTTGAATAAATAATACAGTTTATAATATAAAAATGATTGAACATTCAACAATTTACCAATGTATACACCATCACATCTATTATTCGTCTTCTTTAAAAGTTGTTTCAAATATCTTTCCATCTCTGAGGAATCAATGATTGCTAAATGCCCGCCATAAGACTGACAATCTTTTTGTGCATCTTCCCATATTGCACTTTTTGTTGATATACTCCACCTTCTTCCAGTGTGTGGTTCGACATAAATCTCAACATTAACTACAGATGAAAAATCAAGTTAAACTTCTAAAGGTAAGTTTAATTAAGTTAAAAATTTTAAAGTTGTTATCAAAATTTAATCAACTCATTCTTCTCAAAAAACTGAGAAATTTCCCAAAATTTGAATCATCTTGATTCATCGGGTGGGTTTTGATTAATTGTATCTGTCAATTTTTAAATACCTTGTCAATATTTATTTTAATACAAAAGCATTAAAACAGTTTGTTTCATGTGTATGAATTAAATTACATTCTAAAATTATATTATCTTAGTATAGGCGAAACTAGTATTTTCCTACGTTTTGTTCCACTTTTAGAAGAAGAAATGCTTTCACGTTTCCATCCCCACCAAGGTTGAAAATTATCATTAGGATTCGGTTTGTTTTTTAACTGTTTTATTTTATGCCTTTCCTTCAGTCCTATACAATAACCTGGAAAAATCGAATGATCATGCATTACGAATAAAAGGAACTAAAAATAACGTTACATTTGAAAATCGGATATCATATGGAATAGGGGAATAAACCAATGATAAAATTTATGAACAAAAAATTTTTCTTGTAGTTGATGATATTCCCATTTAATATGATATATAACATATATTTCTTAGTATGTGATACATTTGAAACATATAAGATTCGTCAAAAATTCCAACCTCTTTCACAAAGTACTTAGCTATGACTGTTTTGTTATTTCAAATTCTGAAAGTAACATCCTTAAGAGCTTTTTCAAAATTATTAAAATTGATTCATTACCTAAGACTTCTGGAATTTTTCCAAGCAGATAGCTTTCTAGTATATCTTCACTTGCATCTGTGGATGAAATGAAAATATTATCCAAGAGTAAATGTGGTTGATTAAATTAACAATTAATTATATAAAACATTATTGAACAACATTTTTGATATTTAAATTAAACTGATCAAATTTGATTAATATTTAAATTTAAAATTTATAAACTTCTACAAGGAAAGAAAAGAAAATGAAAAATATTGACCCATACCTTGATGACAAATAAATCGATGTAAATTTTCATTTGATTCATTTCTTAACCATTGTCTGGATTCAAAACTGTAAGTGTTCGCAGCAAATAAGTTGCCACCATTCGAATCCTAAAAATAATGGAATTTTGTTTATAAAATCGAGTTGCAGTCTGCATATATAATGATATATTCTATTACTATTTTCATACTCAAAATTGTGTAGAATGACATCATGCAATAATGCTAGTCTTAAGGCATTTTGTGTTTATGTCAAATAGGTTATACAAGTTAAAGATAGTTTACTCACATTAATCCAATATTCATTAGTTTTGAGAACTGATACTAAAAAATTATATGTATCTTCATCATTCAATTTTATTAAACTACCACCCATATTCTTGCAATGTTCATGGCCCGCATTGTATGTGGAAGGAACATCATGCTGACTTCGACATAAAAATAAAAACATTGAATATTTAAATTGCCTTGATAAATTTTTACAGCCATCTGATCAGTAATTACAGAGTTTAACAAACCTGCACCAGTTGTCGCACACATATGTGATAAACATGCAATTACCAAGTAATAAACGTATAGAGAGAAAGGAGTCTTTGTTTTTGAGACACGTTCTTCATTAACCTCATTAATTAACCCAATCCTACAATTTCACATTGACAATAGTATAGCAGGGTCAATCTTCATTTCATCACTATGGACGAATTGTTAAACTGGGTTAGTTATAATGAACTGAATAAGGCATGATCTTTCTAATTAACACAGTGGCTTATTTTCAAGAACTATGTTTAACTTGTTTCTTTATACCTGTACAATGCCCCTTTATTGAAAAATATTTCAAACTCTGGCATATAAATATAGCTAAGACATTCTGCATGTTGTTGACAAGCATTTTCACAGCTATAATGAGTCAGGTATCGTCCAAAATACAAATGGTTCAACTCGGAACAAGTTTTCTCCTTTTCAACAACATTTTTAAAATCACTTTCCACACTAGTTGGTGGCTGAGGATATGCTGAGCAAATATCTTGGATGCAATACCTTAAAATATGCAAATGCAATGCAAACTAATGGCTTTAACGAGAAGGCATTGTTTTGTGCTCATCAGAAAATATCGTATTACATTATTGAAGGTGAGTATTATACATGCTATATTTGAATAATTATGAATTACAACTGACGAAATTTTCAACATCGTCATGAATTCCATACAGAAGCGATGTTTTAGTATTTTATATTGATCTTTTTACAATATACAGTCTTGCAAACTTACAGCCGTTCTTAGTATAACAGTAAAAACTACAAAGCTAATAATTCAATTTTTTAGCATAAGCTTTATTATTTTTAAACCTATCAAATTGATAAATCTTACTTCCATGACTGAAGAACAATATCTGTGTAACACCATCCAAGTTTGCAACTTTTTATTTCTTGTCCTTCATGGGTGAATGGGAAAACACATTCATGCTCTGTTGCTGAATTTCCCTCAAACAAAGTTGTCAACGAATAACCAACATGGCCAGATTCTGTAGAGCAAGGCCTAATAACCATTTAAGAAATGAGTCACATATTTGTAGCACAATTGTCTATCTATTTACCGGTATTGATTTCCCTTCAATCTCAAGTTGAAACATAAGAAGTTAAAAACATAAGACAATTCTATTTGTCAGCCCCAGTAGGAAATTGAAATTTAATTATAAAAGTTGTCATGTGAGTGCAGTAAGTAAACAGTGAGTACAGAATAAATGTAAATGGACACATTATCACAAATTGACATTGCCTAAAGAAACTAACCAGGTACCAACAATATTTTGAAGCCCTCAGTTATTAAGATAATTTTCGAGTCTGGTGGTAGGATTCTTTCATGCATATGCATTAAGAGCAATGTTAGCTATTCCAAAAAACTCCAAGCACAAGTGCCTGTTTTGTTATACGATTGAGCATTGAGTAGTATTACCAGATTAGATATCATCTAAATATGCAAGCTATGCTATTGACAATAACAATATTTTACATATACTCACATATAATACTGTGTGTAATTTTCAAGACAAGGAAGGAATTCACTTTCATCAGTATAGCACATTGGGGTCAAATTTTGAGAGATATCAAAATATTTGATGCAAGAGAAATACATTATGTTCTGAGAGCGAGTAGGAAAAATGCATGTTGATATTTGCTTTTGTTCAATTGGAACATTGGATGAGATGTTGTAAATTACTGGAATCTTGACCTTTCCATATTGAACACAAGACAATACATCACTAATGTAAGTCATTAGTTTTGCATGTCCATGAAACCATGATGTTCCTCTCATAAAACGCAATTTTTTTGAAACAAATGTGCTTTCTATGATAGGATTCGACCGAAGTAAGTAGGCTGATATAGGAGGATCACAAGTGACAAAGCGACCATCATACAAATAATCCATGGAGCACCATTGTGTTCCTTCTTCTGTGAAAAAAAAATTAAGAAATAGTTTCAAATTATTAATTTCATGACTTTGAAGAATAATGACTATTAGTGATGATGTTGATGTTTCCTTTTACAATGAAATTTTTCAGTAAAATTTCGAAATTGGAGACATGTGCACTGTTCGTTTCAATAAATGAAGTACCCTATGCAATGATCTACAGACTAAAGTTTACTGAGGTTGTTAAAGAGATCAAAAGACAAATATGTTTTTTTTGAAGAGTAATTACAGCATTTTAATGCTAAAATGGTCAACTCTAAATCAAGTATAAGAAGCACTGTATATCACTTTGTAGCAAAAAATAAAGCAATGTGTGTGAATTGCTTTTCATTTAAACGATCAAAAAAGACACTTCAGGTACATGAGCATAAAATTGATGGAATTCAGTTCAGTTCAAAATAAAACGACAAATTTCTACTTACTGGAATAAAGTATTTCATATACTTCTGCATTGCTCTGATTTACCACTTCACATTTAATGGTCTTGTCATATTTTGAGTAGTGTGAAAGAATGTCAGGGCTACTCATACACAATAAGTTATTGAGGAGTTTCTAAAAGAAGTATCAAGATCTGTGTAAAATAATTTGCAATCATGAAAAATTTAATTCACCAATAGTAGTATATTGTACTTACAACAACAGCAAAACCAGGATAACCACTTTCATAGACTTGTTGATAACACTGTTCACGAAATAATGAAGCATCGTATGATTCATATTTTATAAATACTTTGTCTGAGATAATGATTGGCATTTTCCAGCATCCGAGCCTTTTATATAGTTCTGTTAATAGTAAATTAGGTATAAATATAAAAATCACACACGTGTAGGAGTTTATTGACATTAGCTAACTTACCGGTAAGTAGAAATAAACTTGACAATGAAAGTTAGAATATACCAATATATAGAAAAGCAGTGTAACTAAGGCAAGCTCAAGCCAGTTGCATCAGTCAGAAACAAGGCTTGACTCAAGTCATGTAGATTGTAGACCACCAAAATGAATGAACTTGACAAAAGTAAACAAAATCGACGTGTTAGTTGTTGAGGACTTTTAAATGAAACAATAGATTTCAAATAACATTCTAAGATTGAGTGTGATCCTGTACATGCCTCATTAATGCAATGTTTAAATAAACATATCATTAGCCTGTTTCTGCATCAACTCAAAACTGGACTATGATATCTTAATAAATTTCAAACAGTCCTCTTTGGAGTCCTTGAAATATCAACACATTGAAATGCCAATATTGCGCGACAATGCAGTAAATAATAATAAAAAGGATCCATAATACAGTGGTTTCCAAAGTTGATTGACCGAGGGCCAAAATTAGAAGCGAAAATATCAAGTTATCTATCAAAAAATGTCGCTTTTTTTATTTTTATTTTTTTATTATTAAAAAACGTTACTTTTTATACACACAATAACATATAAATACAATTGCACTTAAAAAAATGGGTTCATGATAATTTTCCACCCACTTTTTTACCTGATTCGATAGTCTACATGTAAATGTACATGTAAAAAAAATTTCGCTTTTTATGAGTCATCCAATCCATTGAACGTTTCAAAGCTAACTCATGTCAAGTCAATACTAAATTGATCCAACAACACTAGTACAACATACCAACATCGATGCTAGTACATTCCGCATATGTAGTATTTTTATATTTAAAAGGAAATGAACACTCCGCTGGACGGTCAGTTGAAAAATATTTTCCACAAGTTGATCCAGTGAATCCTTGCACACATCTACATATGAATGATTTATCCCCAGTCTGAATGCATTTTCCTCCATTCAAACATGGTTTTAGATCACAAATTATGCGAGTAAATTTTTCACAATATTTTCCGGAATAACCTGGTATACAAAGGCACCTAAACAATAAAAATTAAAAGAACAATAGTAAATAGAATAAACTTTTGTACAAAAATATATTTTGGGTTCAAACATTTTAGCATATTTGTATACACATTTCATTCTGAACAAGATTATGGCTGGCAGTCCCTGTTATCTAATGATCTTACTATATTTTGGTTGGAACAGGATCTTCCCAGTCGGGCATTGTCTACCCAATTTATTACATCCTTGGTGAGGTAGTGGGCATGGTATTCAAACCCATCATTTTAAACCTGCGATGCAAGTCCAGAGCTGTAAAAGTATGCTATAACTGCTGGGAGAATGCCCACAGGCAGTATATTTTGCCAATAGACATGAACAGCAAGAATGTAAATCAAAATATGCTATTGCAAAGAAAAAGAATTGTACTCTGATCAGCCCATATCTGTAGAATTTAAATTTAAGTACAAAAATATTTTTTCAACAACTCTAAATCTCAAACTCACTTGAACTTATTATCACCAATGTTCAAACATGATCCATAGTTTTTACATCCTATATATTCACACGGATCTACAGTCAATACTGGTAGAGATGTTGTCTTATTGTAAGAAAATTGGCAATTGTAACCAAAAAAACCTTTGTCACAAACACACCTTGGAAAAATATTTTATATTGATTATATTTATTGTATAATATGAATACATGCATAAGCACAACTGATACATTCTACATATAAAATTGAAAATGTGCATTTCATTTTCAATTATTAATGCAAAACTCTGATTTGGTCAATTTCGAATAAACTACCGTAATACACTGTTCATGTGTCTCATGCACACAGTATTCAAATTACTAAGTAGGTAATCATTAATATCTAAAAATGACTAAACGTGTCATTGTTGTAAGACATTGGTATCATTTGTAGACTAGAAAATGGTACTGATCAAAATTTTCAGGATCAAGATTGATGCTCTGTTTGCAGTCTTTGATCCAGTCTGATTTATTATGTATAGAATATATTTTTTAAAATCCGCCTATTATTTTGTCGGAGAGCTAATACATGCAATAACAGATTGTACCTATATAAGCCAATTGAAACCTCGATGCAAATTCCATTTCCACAAGCCTTTGATTCTGTACATGTATCTGAGGCATTGCTCGAAGCAGAGCAAATAGGAAAAACATCATTCCAGATAGGTCCATTTTCTTTTGACATTATGCACTACAATGAAGATTCAAAAAAATGGGAATAGGAAATGGATAAAAAAAATTCCAAGCTTAAGTATACTTTCCCTATGACATATTATGATACATAAATTTCGGAGAACCGTAATCTATTAATTTGAAATTTCGATAAATTATGGCATAATTTTGTTCCAAATCATACACTTTAATGTGTTCAAGTAATTTGGATATAATGCTATAAAGTATAAACCTAAACAGAATATTGGTACGCTGTCAATTTCTAACAAGATATGAATTACTAAAAAACTGTTATCACTACCAATGCAATATAAACACAACAGAAATGTATTTTTATTAAACAAAATTGTTTTAATAATTAGTTATTAATAATATGTTAATATGAATAAATATTAAGTTATACAATGAATATTATTGTAAGATATAATAAATTAAAAGGTAAAAAGAAATTATAATACCTCTCTTATTGAAGGGCCTATTAAGGTTTTGCCATTTTCACATTCATATGAACATTGTGAATGTATATTATTCGAGCCAGGCGAACACTCTTTTTTCACTCCTGGGAGATCTGAAATATATTATGCTTCATAAATAAATTAATCGTTAACACATGCTTTGCTCAGAGATACAAAAAAAAGAATTTATAAAAAATTCAATATTTCAAACTTATTTGGTTAAAATCTCAGAATTAGAATCAACCACAACTTATTCAGTTTTGGTAATTTCTGATTTTAATACGTATTAGCCTACATTATGGATAGCATTACTAATACTGGGCTTCGTTAAAAAATAAATAGAAAATAGAATGTATCAAGCATTTTAGAGCAATTAATAGAAACAATACTACAGATCAACAAACATTTGCCATGAAAAAGTATGATTCAGCATTTTACTCGGTTGATTAGACAATTAAATTAACAAAATAAACAATTTGCAGTGCTGAAATGTGACGAAATAAAAGATACAAGAAAATGAACAATTTTAATTGTTGAATAATTCCAAATAAGATAAAAACCAAATGCTCACCCTGAATCGGGCATTCCACCAGTTGACATAAAAGTCCTTTAAAATCTTCAGAGCAATTTAATGGTTTTATACAAATACCACCAATATCATTTCTTGTGCACATTACAGCTTTACTATAAATATGAGTGTATAAGAAGTTCATAGAATAAATATATATTTTGTGAATGTAAGGTCGCCGTAGTTACAGATTTAGACTTAACCACGTTGCATCCAAGCTTGAAATTGGTGTTCAATTCACAACTACATACTTGGGGTTTAATACATTTATACAACATGAATGATTGGGATTCTCCAAAAATAAAAGTTTCACAGTAACTTCCTCAATAGCATTCGATGATGTTTTGGATGCTCGCTCCCAGCAATGGTGTAAAACAACTCATATAAGATGGTAACTAGTAAGTAGTAACATTGGTAAACGAATAAATATAAAGAAAACTTTATTTATCATATATGTTAACTAGGTAAATTTATTGAAGTATTAAGATCACCCTCACCATTGTTTGAATTCTGTGGATTATAAACATGTTTGATATGATTGCTGAACTGAACACATAAAGACTGGACAATATAGCCTACTAACTAAGTTACCATGCATCTAAAATACGTAATAGGTTATCCATTGTCATACTCATTCCAGAAAACTAACCATCATGTTTGCTGCATGTTTAAGCAAAGCCTAAAGACTTTGCTCTGCGCAAAGGAAATATATTCATTTTATCTTAATCATAATAAGTGAAATTGTCTATAATATTAATATAACAAAACAGTAGTTACAGTTTATCAGAATTAATATTCCATTCAACACAGGCTTTGGTGGATGCAGTAGCAATAACATCTATTTTTTTACCAGATGTCCTCCATTTAAAATTTCCGTATGCATCTAAATGTACTCCAAGCCAAACTAAATGTAAAACCTTTCAATTATGTAATGAATATGAATTTAAATATTAATTTACTTATTTTTTTAAATGTGCTTCTTCAACTGTACACTATGTCGCCACTCTGGTGTTATCAATTGCTGTGCTCACCATACTATCCCAAATATACATACCTCATTTACATTCTGTAGTTCTTGGGGTCAGGATCTCAAAACAGTATTCAATGTGAGCGGGTATAGGTGGTTACTTAGTGATTCATTAAACAAAAGATTTTAAAAACGACTGAAGTATTATTTTTTTTTAAAAAATCTCTAAAGGCTCTCAAAAGCAAATAAGATTCCTTCTTTCGTGGTATTAACAAATCAAAACAATTGACATACTTTTTGCATTTTCTAAACTGATCAGACTTGATCGCAAGTTTTCAAAGCAAAATATAAAGTGTTACCTTTTGTAACTTTAATATTGTTCAAATAAATTTTCAACAAGGATGCTATGTTATCTGTAGGAAGCTCCAAAATGATTCCACCTCTTACTTCACAGGATTCCTTCGCTGATTCAAAATCACTTGATTCCTGCGAAGTTAGAGCTTCACTTACACAAATGTTATCATGCAATAGCACCCATCCATCACTGCAGGAATTCGATTCTTCAAATATAAAAAATTTTAAAAAAATAAAGAGAGGTTTTGAAAGAAAAAACAAGGTTGGGAAATATGGTAATTGGTTGTAGAACTGAAAAGTTCTTTTTCAGAAATAGCGTTCAAGTGCACTTAACAGTGAATTTAATCATTAACTTGACAGCCAAATGAAAATAACTAACCTATTTTACAAGTTATATGAACCAATTGTTCTTCATCACAATGCATATGTTTATCCTTTCTACATTCTTGTAATGAAGACTCATTCCCGAAACAAATTAGATTCTTCACAGATATTTTATCCAGAGTATTAATTTTTGTATAAAAGACCTTAAATTAGATAGAATAAGTTTTGAGTTTAATAAAAACAGGGAAAATATTTGTGGGATAATTTCATCAGGGTCTCAAAAATTTTGTGTCCTACTTGTCTGATTTGCAATATATATATATATATATACCCTAATTCAGAATAGTGTGAAAAGTGATGAAGTATAGTATATGATGAAGTGATGAAGAATACTGTGAAAATGAGACAAGTACTGTGTCTGTGAAACACAAAACATTTTTGAGACATCTTTCTGCCATCTGGTAGTGAGGACATACCGATATATAACACAACAACCACATATGTTGAACTTATATTTTTCAAATTTATGTAAGTTCTCGAGAGACAAATAGTATGCATATTAATTAAATCCCCACAAACATAAGTCACGTTTGCCCTATTATCAATACAGATTCAGCATCAAAATTGAGCCATGTCAATGTTATCACCAGTCTTAAATAAAGAACTCCCCAGTAGCAGAAATGTAAAAGTAAAATTTTAAGACATAACAATATAAGCACTAGACTGGAGCAAAGAGTAGTAAGAGGTGAAAATTGTAGCAATTGTGTTTGTATTGTCTATATATAGGCAAATAATAATATAATCCTATTCAGGATACTCTAACAATAGCTGCTACTTTACAGTTTTCATCAAACTAGGTAATTACGGTACTTACTTTTTGGGATTTTGAATAACCAAGTTCTCGGCAAGCTACATCTGCAAAATTATTGCTAACAAGATGCTTTATACAAACTCCACCCCAACCATAGAAGGTATCATAAGACTGTAACAGGCCAGATCTAATATTTTCACTCGGTGGAACAGTAACAGTAGATTTTAGTTGTTGTGAGATTCTTAACAACCTTATATTATCTAAATGCATTAAATGTTTATTAAATAACAATATTTAAACAAAAGTGAAAATATGCAACGAGAGCTATTGATTTTGAGACAAAGCCATAAAAATCAGTGTAATATTCCATAAATGATTTTCAGACTTTGTCTCGACGTTGAGCCACATCAGATACATGACAATTTGCAAAAATATTATCACCAAAGGGCAAATGAAATAAATATAATTGCAGTAACGATAATCACTGTCAATGTAACATATCCTATAGCAAAATCTGAATTTCAACAACATATAGAAAAATTGCTACAGCATCTGATAAATGTTGAATATCAATAGGAGTTTTTAATTAATCTTACATCCACCGAAGCAAACTTTATAGTATTTCAAATTTCCCTTTTTTGCTTCCCCAAAAGCATACTGCATCAATTCTCTAATATGTTGTTGACGCAATCCTCCATTCTTGGCCGAATTTCTCCATCTTTCCAACAAGTTATCGAAGAAAGATCCATAACGAAACAAAGGAACAGTACACCCTATTTCATTTTTCCAGATCTAAATAGTTGAAGAGTTGTCAAGTATTTTATTGGTAATAATTTTTTCATATTTTCCCCTTTGCCTTAGGTTAACTGTATGTAGGACAGAATGAGATTTACATATTTATCCCAGAGGGGGAAATCCGGCAAGACTTCTTAATCATATGTTAAACCATGGCTTCTCGTCCGGTTACCAGTCTATTCTGGTATGAAATTAGTTAGCCAGTTATTTGTTTTGGATGCATGGACTTAATGGGGAAGGAAGTCATAATCGACTAAACGATTTCCTAAACCATCCTAACAATGGTGGCAAGGAGTCCAGCAATGCTTTCGCACATAATCATCCCCACGCAGAGTAATCAGAGGTGCGGTTGCGAGAGTATTCCTAACACTTGGCACGATACGCCACACATCTGTGTCAACTGTAACTGTAAGAGATTGTATTGCATAGCAAAAACCTCAAGATTGAGTTTGGATAACATCTTGTGACCACCAAGACACTGTGACCATAAAGACATTAAACCATGTTGTAGTGAAAATTCTAAGAACATAAATAATGTATTCATATTGTATTAAGATTAAGTTTGCAATGATAAATTACTACTTAAAATGAGTACATGGAAATTCAAAGTTTGAAAATAAAATAATTCGCAAAGTTAAGAAGCATGTAAAAGTGCTTACAAACTGCAAGCATCTCCGTGGATGATAATTCAAATGAACCCGCTCTAATAGAGAGCCAGCAAAATTTACTGGGAGTATCTCTTCGCAATTGGCTCCTTGCAATTTCCACTCTTGAGACTTCGTTGTAAATATATGTAAATCATCCCTTATAAAAATAATCAATCCTCGAAATGACATTGCATCATTTAGCAAAAATGTATAATGTAAAATATGTGTATACTATGAAAAGAAATATTAAATTATAAAATTGTAACCCTTATACTCCGTAATGGCTGTCTGAATCCTCAGTGATTCACAATAATGGCTATTAAAAATACAATGAAAACTAACCTGCTGGAATTTTTAAGAGAAGATAACTCAAATAAACTAGGTTGATGATAAAACTGTATCAAGGTATCATTGTCAAAAATATTCTTGCTTGTTTGAAATCCAAAAGATTCATTTCCTAGATTAATCTTGAAATAAAAGGAGAAATTTGTTATAATACACACAAAAGTCATTTAAAAATAAAGTAAATTTTTCACCAAAAATAATACATAAATTATGGTACAAAACTTTTCATTTTTATTAAAAATTATATTGAGAAATATCCAAAAAGATAAACTAAGAACATTTTTATGTAGAAACATTATCAAAGTGTCAGCAGTTAAAAATATCAATCAAACTTATGGAAACCCGAATATTGCTTTATTCTAATATTTAGCTAAGTGAAATATAACTTACTGGTAATAAATATAAAGGTGTTTTATCATATTTTGGCTGAAATTTAATAGCATATTGCCCATCTGCTGTTGGAAGTAAATCAAAATTATCCACATTCAGACATTCATAAAATACACCGAGAGTTGGTGGAGTCAGTAGACAACTTTTCATGTTGTTATTCACTTCATTGCCACTTGCCCATGATCCCAGAGTCATATTTTTTACTATCATTTCAGAAAATTTTTGATCAGAAGACGTGTCAATTGGTAAATGAATTTTAAATGTTGAAGTAGAATCTTTTGTCCAGCGACCTAAATAAAATATCATAAAGGTTGTTTTTCAAGATCCAGGAGAAAAATGTTTTACTTGTACTCATACTAACCTTTTTGTAAATATTGTAACTGAAATGAAAAATTAGAAAATTATTATAGAAAGTAAGTTAGAAAATTATTCTTTGTAAAAATCATTAGGATCACAATCTATCATACCATGTTTGAAACATTAAGTTACAGTTAAGATGAGAACCATAGAATCCTCAAATCATCAAATTCTGAAAATTTATTTGGAAAAACTACTTCAATCATGCCATTATCCAGTTCAAACTCATTGACCAAAGTGTAAAAAGGAAACAAAAAATTAAATGGAAGAATACTCACTCAATTTCAGAAAAGAACTTGGCACAATAAACGAGTTTTCAAGGTTTGCTTCATTTACTGCTGATGTGATCAGATTTCCAAATTTATTGGGCTTCTCATATAAAGTTCTGCAACAGTATAATATACTTGGTAGTAAAATATTTGTATTAAATATTGATAGAATGATTATCATTACAAATACTTTACTTTTCGTTGACCATGGAATTATTCCACATATCGATGATAATTAGAACTTGGGCTTTATCACCGTTCCAATTGATATCATCGAGGTAACCATGTGTGAAATCTCCCCCTGAGTAAAAAAGTTGTGATATTGAAAAATTAAATTCACGATGAATATAAACATTAAATTAGAAGATGTGACCACCAAAACACCCCATTTTGCCCAAAATTTTGGTCTCAAACTATAATTTTATGAAAGCTTTCTACAAATAAGTCAACATTGTTCCAATTGAAATTCCAGTCTTTCCGAACAATGTCTTACTTACCGGTACATTCATATCAGAAAGAAAATATTACATTCTAGATTTAGCAGGCAAATCATAAACATGTTGATATTTGCATGAGGAAATTTATAGACTACAACAGAATTTTCGATCAAAACTTGAAGCAATTGTAAAGCACAATCAAAAATTAATGGAAATATAAAGTTGTATGCAGGCCTTTTTACACGAGGCTAGTTACTGAAAGATTGAAACGCAGATGACAATATCTAGTCTTCATTTTTATATATTATTATAATTTAAAAAAAGCTATTTGTTTGAATTTTTGATGAATAAAAATACTATGTGATCGCTATTTTCATCATGGACATTTAGAAAAACAGATTCAAAACATAATTTAAATACTGGTATGTAATTTACCTAGTGAAAGATAGCACTCATTTTCCACATTTCGTGCCGCTTCTTCGAATAAAGGTTTGCCATCAATGTTTAAGTGTATTCCACTTGTTTCTATTAATTGGATTATCAAATGATGCCAACCAATACTGGTAGACCTATCACTATCATCAACAAACAGTAGTTCTTTACCACATAAACTAACAATAAAGCCTTCATCTTCTTTTAGTTTTTTTACAATAAGGAATATGTTTTGGTAGTCTTCTGGATCTATGTATGTCAAAAATATTACACCAAGCTTATTATTATCTTGATACCAAATTGATATTGTGAAACTCGTTAAATTTGTTAAGAATGAAGTTGGGAAGTGTTCTTCAATCTTCACATTACTTGAATTGATAGTAGATGCAGCATGGGTATTGTTGAGTTTATCTGTAATACAAAAATATTGAAACTCAAGATGTACCCATTATAATTACTTTGAATCGAGTGTTCTCAAACAAAAATAAATGTATGCACTATAAAAATGAAGTTAGACCAGTGTAATACCAAAGATTCAAAAGGAGTTCTTTATAAACAACAATTTTATTCCAACCAGAGAGATAATACAGCTAAATAAACTATTTTAAAAACTAATAGGCCTACTCCTACTCATACAAGGGATAAAATTACAAACTGAAATGAAGCCATGATTATTATTTGCTAATTTATCTTACCGTAGTTGTGCCATGTCAAGTTCCTATCATACAATAACTTTTTATCCTAGTCACCGTGAGCTTTCTATGCCTTGGGTACCGTAACTAATAATGATTTCAATTTGACTCTAAACCGTGTAAACTATATAAACATACAAGCTAAAAATTTCACACAACAAGTAATTTGTATTATTAGTCATATAACCTGTAACTTGAATTTGAAACAAAACTAAAAATATTTATGTTTTTATGAAGGCATTTATTTCTTCTGTAAAGCTACCAAATACGATAAATATATCTAGCACTGACACCTTTGATGTGATAATTGATCTTGACAATTTTAACAGATTCTTGGTCCCCAAACATAGTTATATGTGTTTGGAAGTTTTTGAACTCTTCTTTTGTTATCCCAAAGCAAGATGATAAATTTGATAAAAATCCATATGCAGAATATTCTGAATATTAAATGAAATAATATGGTTAAGATACAAAATATGATCTGAGCGATTCAATAAATTAACAAATTCCTTTATTTAGGAAAACTACCCAAAATTATAAATATGATGGAGGGCTATTATATTTTTTGGTCTTTGGTCTATTCTTGAGTAATCTTAATTCAAAAAATAGGATGAAGTACTTATTTTATCTGTAATTTAATTTTTACTCGTATAAAAACAAAACATAAAATTTCATTATGTAATATAAAAAACAACCTGCCAATCTTGTTTTTTGATAGCATAATTCTTCTGAAATATTTTCTTCATTTAAATTTCCGGATCCAACACCTTGATCAAAGATGTTTGCATCCAAATAACCATATTCAATTGCATTTCCAACTAACAATTGAACAAGAAGGTTTAAAGACATTTGAGATGATGAAAGAGTTGGAAAAAAAATCAAAAATAAATCAAAATAGAAAATAAGTGATATTTATTATATGGATGGTATAAAAATAAAATATCTGAATTTCATAACATCAGTGCCTAAAATAAATACAATATCATATTTAAGTTTTTTTGGTATATCATAATTTTTTTGATGTTCAAAAAACAACCCTAGACAAAAGTAGAGTAAATATTATTATATTGAAACATGAAAACAGATATTGAAAGATACTAAATAGTTTTAAATTAAATTTGTGCATTCAAAAGATGGGATACAGCCAATTCCATGATATAAAAATGAAAACACTCTCACAAAATGCTTCAATGTCCAATTCCAATGGTGGATCTTCAACATTATCAATTGTATAGCTGATGGAATCTATGAAAATAAAAATCTACTTTATAAGTTTATAAATTATAAATTGATAAATTAAAAAAAATCATGTTTTACAATAAGCATTTGAAAAACAATATTCTTTGAGCGCAAGAAAGAACAATGCTTACCACCTCATGAAGTAGATGTAGTACATTAGGTAGAATCTAATTTAACATTAATATATAAATAAATCATAAACATTATATATTTATATAATTCTTGTATGTGACTATTTGTTCAGACATTTTCATCAGTATATATAAAATAAAAATAGTGTTTTTAAAAATTCGATCAAATAATTTTATCAGTCAGTATTTTACAACAATTAATATACCAAACTATGCTTTATTAAATCAACAGACAGCACTCACCACAACAATGCAACTTTTTTTTAAAATAACAAACACTGTCGAAACTTGTATCCCAAGGTCCACAGACACCCTGTTTCTCCCATTGATAAGCAGGACTGGTATATTGTTTAGTATGTGAATAACATTCTTTGCTGAATGAATGAAACACCCACTGACTTTCGAAATTTCTGTATATAAAAAATAAGGTATCATATCACACAATGGTTTATGCAAATGTACGAGCAATGCGCATACATACCTAACAGGCAACCAATGTAAATAACCAAACTCTTGATCTTGGCAAACGGTTTCTGAATCACAAAGATCCATTCCACGAGTGTTGCAAAAATCTCTGGAATAATGCCATGTTTGCACCGCTGGGTCAACTTCGAACCTATGGAATTCTGAAATACACCTTTGCACATAATATTTTATAATATATAGAACGATATTAGTAAAAAACTTCTCGAAACGTTACATTATTTATAATATTCAAGTAATTGATATAAGTCAATACAGTTATAAATACAAAACATTCGTTCATTCCAAATAGCAAGTTACCCACAATTTCTTTCCCCTTTAATGTACCGATTATTTACAATTGTTTGAAAAACTGAACAATTACCGACCTTAAGAAGCTCAGCACTATTGCAATTCATCAAGTATTACAATTTGTTTGAAGTTTCATTAATTTCCTGCATATAATTTTTTTATGACTTTGTGCAACCCTCAATGTTTGTACACAGAATATTAGTAATGAAATCATTTCATCATAAATATTTATGATTGTGTCTATGAACAGCTCATTAAATTTGTACAATTATTCTGATTAACAAAAAATCAAACTCTCCCAATCTCTCCCCCACTATCTAAGAATCTCCAACTGCCTTTTTTATGGTAGATTTTTTTCATACTCTCACTATTATTAAGAGACATCCCTAAATACCTTGTGAATGTCCAAAGCATGCAGATTTTAAAAATTCTTCAGAAGACATAGAGTTTCTTTCCTTCATTGAAGCAAGTTGTGAATCTAGTGACAGATACAGGCCTGATACTGAATGACTTTCATATATTCTGCAATTCTATAATGTATACCAAATTCGTGTTATAACATGATGAGGATACACAAATAAAAGTTTAATTAAATATACAGTACTTCTTCTTTCGATGACCAAAATGTTGCTTCTTCGCTTTCTTCCCAATGTGTCGCTACAACCATGTATGAACCATTCGCTATGCAGTGCTTAAGAAAATATCCGGGTGCATCCACCATTTCAAATGAGACAGTGCCATGCAAATCTAGAAGTCCTGTATAAAACACCGGCACACGAGCCATATTTATTAATTGGAAAAATCGAAATTGGTTAAGTCATACTAATATCTCATCATATAACCAAATAAGAAGACGAGATTTGACAAATGATTACATCAATTTATTGAACTTTTTTTTCCCTGGATAAACATAGCATCCTATTTTGTGAACATGTACAATTTTACAAGTTCAGATCTTGTAGATGTTGGAAAGAAATTTACATATCAATGTATACAATGCAAGAGGCTCTGTGTCTCCATAAAACAAAAATACCTGAAGATATTTTGTAGAAATATGCATCTGTTGTTAAATTGCTTTGTGAAGTTGCAAGAAAGCAATTGCTGCAACAAATGTTATCATTTTGATCAATCCATTTTAAAGAGACAGAAGAGCCATAGGTAGAAAGTTTTATTGGGCCAGTTTTTCTGGTTGCTGGTATGCTTCTTCTTTCGTATTTTGAATTTGGAGATTCTATTTGATGCTTACCTAGAAATATTCAAAATGCGTTGAATATTAATTGTCCAATGAAAAAGCCGATATAAAACATTTACATAACTTGGAAATTTTTATTCATCCAAATTACTATATTAATTACGAAAGCGGTAAATCACTGAATGCTCCACTTTTTATTTGTGGACTTCGAAGTTTAACCTAAAATAAAATGGGACGATCAATAAAAATATGGAATACATATAATTCATAAAATATATTATTTATGAAGGTTATATCAAGAAAATATTATAAAATTTTAGCCCATGTAAAAATATATTGATGAAAATGAAAGATGTGTTAGTTACTCAATACCGTTTTTTTGATGTATATAATACTAGTGTAGTAATTTCGGCTTTCAAATTCATCTTACCACAGCAGAATATACCAGCGGCTGAATTTTTTGATGTTTGACTGACATTCATCATTATATTGTCTTGTGAATAGCATCTTGAATTGTTTAAATCGATTTTATTCCATGTACCTCGCAAACCCCTAAAATGTAAGGTTATTCATCTTTCTAATCAAAGTATTTTAACAATTAGATTTTGAAGTGGTTACTTGATTCCATAGTAAGCTAAACATTCAACCATTGCTTTTTGTTCAATTTTTATTTTGGTATGTTACATCTTACTTCCTTGGTATTGTCTGGTATAGTAAAGTAGAAAGTAGTATCAGAAAAGTAGTAGAAAATTGCACAAATTACAATAGTCATAAGAATGAATTCAAAGCCCAAGAAGCAAAGATTAACTTTGCTCTGGTTTGCTATTTTTTGCTGTTGTTATAATCTTAACACACCCATTTTCAATCAAATCATCAGATGATCGAATGTGTTTTTGCTGTTTTAACATTGTAAGATGAATTGTAAAAATTCTCATAATATACAGAAATGCATGGAAAACTTTCTAAAATTGCTGTTCGGAGCTTGACTAAAATATGCAATGAAATTATTGCTTTATTGTTTATATTTATTCAATTTTCGAAATTGTGAAATAACTAAATTACCTGGATGGTACCCATAGAATATTTAAATTTTTAGAAATTGATATGATTACATCTTCTTCAATAAGGATTTTTTGTGAATTTTCACAGATATCTTCCGATTGGCATAGGTCCTTATTTTGCTGCAAGCAAATTTCTCTTGCATTATCCCAACTAATGCTTTGAACTGTGACAAACTCTCGTGTTTGTGTTAATTCTGAAAATCATCAGAAATTTTATAGATATTTGCTTGGTCAAATCATCAAATATCAATTGAGAAGTTTTTAAAGTGTTTCTAATAAAAACATGATTAATATAAGTTTTTAGCACAAAATATTTATTAATCATGACTTCTCATCAAATAACATCATACTTGAAGAAATCGAAAAGCACCTGAAAATGACTAAAGTCTGAGGAAACAGTGAATTATTATTCCAAATTTCCTGATTTTTTATTTAATGTAATATCACCAACTTTATGTTAGTATTTGATATTAAAAAAATTATGTCAAGTAGTCTTAAAAATACCTTTACCTATTTTGTCTGCATTTTTTGATCCACTACAATAACCTTCACCGTCACAGTTTCCAAGATCACAGATATAATTCAATTTCACTGAATTACAATCAACAACATCTAAGAAGGCTTGAACAGTGCTGGGGGATAAGGAAATGAACTAGAAAAAATAAAATAAAATTTTTATTCATTACTATGATTATATATGGCACATCACTATGTTTATAATTTTCTCTTACTACAGTATCATGTGACAAAATCATGACAAATTTTAATGTGATGTTAACTTGGTGTCAAAACTAACAAAAAATGACAAAAAGAGGATAATTAACCATAATGTATCAAGGTGGCATGTGACAATGAGTCAGTGTCTTTCAATCTAAAGCAAGTTTTTGGTGTCTGATCTTTTGAGACCAGGCCCTTACACCAAGGACATTATAACTGATGCTTATCTTTGTAAATGACTTGGATAAATAAATATCAATAAATAAATAGCAGGCTGTACTTTGCTATTTGATTTATCCACTGGTTTGCTTAAAGTAATATTTTCTCTTAAGATGACAAACATCTGATACTGTCCTACAATCGATAACTTAATAATTTACAAATATAAAGCATATTGTAAAAAATGGTAATGTACCACAATTATCATAAAAATGATCTGACAATAATATAAACTACGAAGTCGAATAGTGCCATATCTTCATTTGTGATCGTACTAAATTTATTGTATATTTACAACCAGGCATTTGAACACCAACACTCTACATAGCCACACCCTATTTTAATATGTCTATGCGTGGTTTCTTGTTTTTATTAATTCATGCATCAATAACAAAACTTGTTATCTGTTCTAGTAACTTGAAATTCGAAGAATTTTTACCACATTGATTCGAACACACACTGCATCATATGGTGATGGATTTTTACCATTTTCCCAAGTAATCCATTCAGGAATATTATCATTGAATTCTGATAATCTACCAGCCCAGATTGAAAATTCTCCAAATGACGATGTTGCAGAATCATTGGACGAATAGAAATCAGTAATCCATTCCTGTTGAATACCAAAAATATAAGATGAGTGAACCATTTTAAGTTTATGTGGAAACTTAATGAGATTATTATCTTGAAATACATTTCACTTTATTCTTGATTGCAAACACAGTTATTGCATGCATTATTTGGGTGCTCCAGATGAACGTGCACCAAGATGTCGCACAACCCTAATCCTAACCAGTACACACATACTATGTTCAGGTTGTGCGCCATCTTGCGCATACTTCAGGAGGTCCCATTATTTTATGCTTGAACAAATTATTAGTTTAAACAAATTTACGAGTGAGTTTATGAGTATAAAAATGGTCAATAGTAACACAAAAACCTCTTTTGTTAACCACATATAATAAATTGCAGCACTTGCCTTCATAAACTCAAATTTGTTTTGTGCTTCAATAGCATTAAGTATTTTTCTATTAGTTGATAAAGACTGACAAAATACTTCAGCATCAGAATATATTGCTGGAACTGGTTGCATGCAGTAGAAGTTACCATTTAAATGATTCAAAAATCCATGAAAACAATCAACTGAAACAAACAAAAAATAAATATTAATAATGGAAATTAAAACTTTAAAATATTACTAAAAAATCTCAATAGTACTCTGAAGAACAAAGGTATATTTTCAAGCATTCCCTCATAATCTTGTTTTAATTAGATTTCAGTTTTATTAAAAATTGTACCACATAAAACACTAATAATTTATATACCTGCAATGATATGCAGAAAAAGTGAATCAGACAGTATTTGAATTAAACATACTAACCAGGTTTTTGATAAACCAGACTATATCCATCACCTCCACAACTTAAATTAGGATCTTTGATACAAGGAATATTACAAGAATTTTCCATGCTGTCGAAGTTTGATAAAAATAATTCTTGATTGATGATAATTTGTGCATCACCACAGAAACAATATCCTCCCAATCGTATCATAGCATTTTCATAACCTTTTTAAAACAGAAAGAAGTGCATTCCCATGGATACCTTACAGCTTTGTCTAGTGGAATCATGCTTTTTATTTTATAGTCTTTGATGCATCCAAGTACTTCAGAACCTGATAAAATATGTTTTTGAACAATAAATAACAATGGAAATATACATCAGGATAGAAAAATACAATTTAACAAAATAGTAATTTCCTCAAATTACTTCACTGACAATAATCCAATTGAGGTTTTCAACAGAGACTGGATGTTTGAAAATAAAAAATCCGGGCCTGTGTCCTGTGGTGTGATGAAATTCTTGCTTTGTTACTAGATTTCCTTTCGTTGGATAAAAGTCTTTCTACTAACATACCCAAAGTGTAAAAAGCTCTGCTTGTATACAGCCTTAAGATTGTTATAACAAGACGTAACTAAAGAAAGTTTCTCTCTAAGTTCGGAAAAATATTTGTTTCAAAAATAATCTACGGTAATGATATTATTATCTGAAGAACTTCTCTATATTGATGTTTCATCCATGCCAAAGTATGCATAATAACATAACCTGGAACAAGATGAATTCTGGGTACCCTTTTCACATGTTGAGCTTTAAAACTTGGTGTATATTCTGTAGAGCCTGAGTGATGGAAATGGAGATTTATCATAAAGGATTTCTGGAAACCAAAAAAATAAATAAATAATTTTTATCTCACCATCATATGTATATAATTTCAAAATGTACAACTCTGTTCGAGTTCTGATTTTGAAATTTCCCTGAAAAATATAATTACCTTTTTTAAAAAATAGATTTTATCAATTGTCTATACATATTAGGGTATTCAAATTCAAAATGAGGGCCACATATTTAATTTTATTAGATATGATATTCCCAATAAATATAATGTTAACATCACCGAAACTCTGGGGTAAAATTTATATTACTATCTCAAATACATTCTTCTCTATACAAAAGTTTCAGATGCTTTATGCTTGAAAATTCTGCTCTCATTCAATTCACAAAATATTTAAATATTTCAGCTGGCAAAACGACTAAGATTCAATTAATTTCCCTACAAAGACAATTGTTCTTGAGAGACAAAATAAATAATAATGTCATAAATATTGAGTTAAACAACAAAGACTGTCATAGTACTCAATTTTTAGAAAGTTGCAGGAAGGCGTGCTATCATATCAAGTGCTTTAATCTTTATTTTTCTTTACAATAGAATAACAGAACTTTTAAAAATAAAAATGTCATATTATTTCAATCTATCACTGTTAGTGGTACATAGAAACAAGCATGAAATATGATATATGGGACACAAATATCTATTAGTTGAATATACAATTAATCTTCTGTAAGACATTTTGTCATGTCCTAGCAAGCAATATTCGACTCACCATCTCATGTGAAAGAAGTGTGCAATTATCACCATCATAAATGATAATGCTAAAAAAAGAATATTTTATGATAAAAGTGGTTAATAAACCTACTTTGATATTGAGCATCTTGAAGATGAAGTTAAGATTATACCTCATATTCTTCATGATGCAAAAGTTTTTAGCTAGTTCTGTCATGTGGAATAACAATTTTATTAGCTGATAAGCAGAACAGTTGAAGATAGAAATTGCCAAACACTTCAATATTTGAAAAACATGGTTTTAAATAGAGAAAGGAAATGGCTATCAACCAAGAGTGTGTAAAACAGCAATGAGTTAGGAATTATTCTTTAGCACATGGTCATCCTCATAACATTCAGAACAGTGACCTCCATGCAAAGCAATCAGCAGTAGAATGGCTGAGATGTCTTTATTCTATATGTAACTAAATCTACTGGCTAAATACACATGTACCTGCAGTTTGACAAACTATGAGTCAATAAACATTCATATGCACAATCTTCTAATAGTTTTCTGTCTAAGATTTTGAGAAGAAGAAAATCAGCTTGGTCATAATAAACAGGAACAAATCTTGAACAAAAATACTCTTCAGATACTTTATAAATGTAAATGAATCATTAACTAAATTCTCTTGTTGACAAGATTAATATTTTGCATGATCACCTATGTTAAAATTTGCACCGATTTTACAAAGTATAAACTTTTTGTATTGGAGTTCTCATTTATCAATAAGTATAACTCTAGTATTACAGTTCAAAACAAGTAGCAAGTTCATGGTTACTATTATTCACAATTTTAATTTACAGAGTGCCTTATTTATGGTGAAACTGTTCGAAGAAAGAAAACATTAGAAACTTGTCAAATGAATAAAAATATAATACTTTTCTATCCAATTTGTACTGTTGGTTGATGTGAGTAAATACCCCTGTACATCTATTTGAGCACATTCTTGCTTGATTGTATTTCGTTGTTCAAAAAAGATCTTTATGAAGCGTGCAACAAGCGGTTTACCAAGCACCCACTTCCATGATCCATCTGAGTGTAGCTGTGAATATAAATAAGCTACCTTATACATATTGCTAAAGTGAGAAAAAATATTAGCAAAATATTTATATTCAACACAGAATTATGGAATAATACTGTTGAAGAAACCAAATAATCACTATAACAAACCATTGAGCACAGTGAAAATATTAACATAATACTTTCATTATAAAAACTATGTATTCAGTTAAACATTTATAACATAGGAATAATAAATCAAAGGTATTCTGCATACAAATAATTACTTCTAATGAAAAATTTTCGACATAAAAAAGTAACATAAATAAAAATTATAAACATAGTTAGTATAAATAATGAAAATACCAAATCATGCTTTATCTGCAATTTTTTATTTATATATGGCACTTTTTAAACATACACTTTCACCATGAATAAAGCTTTCTATATGGGTTTGGTATTTACCCCAATTTGTTTTTGTTCTGCTATCCTTTCTTTTCCCCAATAATTATTTAAAACAATATTTATTGGTTTAAGTGCAGTTTGGTTTAGTATTGCATCAATATCTTCAACTCCATCAATTACTGTACTTTTGCACATATCGTAAGGTAAAAATGTTGATATGGAATAGATCTTATATAAATATTGAAGATCAACCTGCAACCACCTAATTATGATAGAAAGATAGAAAAATACTGCAATTTGACAAATAAAGTTTTTCAACTTTTATCAAATTAAGAAGTACAATACATTACAATTAGAGTTCAGAAGTTCAGAAATATTAGATTAAATGTACTTTGAAGATTATTTATTTTTCAGGCAAATTAATGATATATGTCAAGAAAGATCAATTACAAATAGACACATTAGGTTATAAATATCTTCATAAAATATTTCATACTTACAATTTGTAAGATAATTAATACACGTAGATAATGTTTTTTGATTATACCTCGCTTCAAAAATCCCACAAAAAATAATGAAAACCTGTCTTTGTCTACAGGATGTAAACACCATGCTCCACAAAGACTTGGCCTTGCCATCCAAGCTGGATTTGTTAGTATGAAACTTGAAGCAGTGTAGTGTGTAGTCGTTGTTTTATCAACATTTTCCAATTTTGTTATAATATTTTGAGATTTTGAAACAATATTTCCAGAATTCAGAACTGAATAAACATTAAATTTTTATACATATGAATAGAAGTTGGAAAAAGGCCTTTTTACAACTAATTGCTAGATCTTCTTGACTTCAACTTTAAAAATACGAAATATAATACACAACCAGTGATAGCAAAATAATTTGCGTTATTGATGTCTGAAAATTATGGAGTGTTTAACAATATTATTACAAATGGTATTTCATTGGGAAATTAAGAAAACTGCTTGATTAAAAATTTGTTATCTGTCTCACCTTTTTCATGCTGACATATATGAAAGAAGAATTGTCCAGTAGAACATTCCACTGCTTGTAAAGAAGATCTTAAACATAGTTTGTCAATCTCATCATTGCAAACTAAAAAAAATAATTGATATAAACATAGTATAAAAGTGTATATTTTGTAAGGTTTATATCATTATATTTTTAGTTCTGTGAAGTATATTGTTACAGTATATTTAAATCCTATAATAATTAGAATTATTTTTTAATGTTTTAATGAAAATAAGATTGTAAAAAACACAGTTTTATATTTTATACCAACCCAAAAAGTACCAGGCATACAAATTTTTGATGATCTATAGAACTCATTTATTGCTTCAGACAACGAATAAAAAATGAGTTCAATTAATGAGTTAAAAAACAAAAACCACTGCATAGTAACTTGCTTATTTAAAAAAAATGAACTTACTGACGCTTTTTTGATGATTTGTAATATGCTTAGGCATGTTGAGAGTCATATAGACACGCTGCATAATTTTTATTCCTTCGGGTGTCGTTATATCAATTCCAAAACCACCTTGAGATGAGCAATATTCAATTAAGTTTTTACAGCCTTGGCGATTACTGCTTTTTAGAACCTGTCAATAAAGTGATACTATGTGTATAGATATTAACTGCATGAAACTATATATGATTTTATTTACAGCTATATTAATTTAACAGGCTTGAAGTCAACACATTTTTTTTATCAGAATATCAATTTTCTGATAATCAAAAACCAAATGTTATCACTGATAAAACAGAACAGGTTCCAACAGAAAGGTCAATAAACTCATATCCTACCTTATAACAATCATTTTTTATTTCTACAAATCCATATGGACATATAGGAGTTTGGGATATTGAATTTTTGTTGGAAGCATCTAAAAGCAAAGTCATATGCAGTTCATAATTTAATCACTGGGATCAATCATTCTGAATATTCAATTTATTCAATTTTTGAAGTCAGCCAGCAACCAGCTGTTAGTAACATCATTCAATGCATCCCACATGGTCTTTGGATTATTAGTTAACATTGTACTTCACAAATTGAATGTGGTAGAATAGTTCACGAAGCTGCTGGTCGGTTATAACTTACTCCACCATCAAGTTCATGTATTTAAAACAAGTAACTAATCCTATACTCGAAATGGACTGGTAACAGAAGAAAAGCTCGTGGTTTGCCATACAATCAGGCCATCTTATTGGCTCTCTTTTACTCCATAATAAATATGTAAATCGTATCCTATCCTGTGTGTGAAACATTGTATGAAAGTCCAGTGTACAGAATAGCTCATCTCGTAAAAAGTCGGTTCACTGAACGATACCAACTATATCTATGTCCAAGTAAAATTCTTGAGTCAAAAATAGAAATGATGGCTATGCATTGTATTAATTGACTCTGCTAAAATTTTTTATACCCAACGCCAATCTTGAAAAACATTAGTATACTGATAAATTAATTCATTCAGACCATTAATATATAAAACATAACAAAGTGTTACCTGAAACGTTGAAGAATTTTTCACATAAACCATATGCTTCCTGGTGTGTGCTGTCATAGTTTTCACATGTCCCATCAAACAAGAGTCCAGGATCAGACAACAATAAATGTTTTCCAAACTTTAGTGAGGGTTGGTCAGGACCACCATGAACCTGCTCCTGGCATTATTTTCATTTGCTGCAGCAATTTGGACAATGTGGTATATAGATTATGCAAGTGATTCATATATATCATTCAAAAATATAATAGACATAGATTAAAATTTTCGAATAAGTTTCGAATTTAAATACTAACATTTTCAAATCACTTCAAGGTTTTTAATTAAATATGGATATATTATTATATTATGTATTGAAAGTATATACTATAATTGATTACGGTAGTTACCAAATTAAAAAATACAATATAGTAAAATTACCTTATATTCATACACATTGTCTAATAGATTAGAAGTTGGTGCTAGGGAGAGCAGAAGTTTTTTCGACGAAAGAGCTGAAGTTCTGGAAGATTTTCCTGAAAAAGAAAGTGAATCTAAAAAATAATAAGCCAATTCTAGGGAAGAAAACAGCATATACCAGTACTAATAATTAGCCTTATATAGACACTTTTTGATTATATTCTAATTCTTCAACAAATCTAAAGTTTTAAATCCAAGTTAAAATCTGACACTCTCCCTCTAACAGTCATAATAACATTTCGTTAACATACGTAATTTGCTAAATATTTAAACAATCTGATTTATTTTTTTTTCAAAATACTGATGCAATTCAATCTTACTGAGAAAGACCAGAAGTGGAAATGAATTGATATGCAAGTCCTCCACCACCCAACTTGCAAACTCTATTGTTATTTTCACATTCAACACCTGATGAATCTACCCCTTTCACAATCCAATAGTCATATCCATTTTCAGCTTTATACATTTTTGCATTTTGAAAGCAGAACTCATATCTATTAGGCAAAATACAAAAAAGGGAGTTAGAACTATTTGGTTAAAAAAGGTAAGGTCCATGTAGACATGCACATAGAATCACATTACCCACACAGCTTTACTTCTACTGTTTTTAGGAACATCCATAAACATGAATTAGGAGTTTTTAATATTTAATCCATAATTGAACTATTTTAATCTTTATACTGATAAAATTCTCGATTACAATATATATTTTATAGCAACTAACAGAAGATTATGTTGAAATATAATAGAACAGAAAACAGTGGTGTTTAGTTATATGCAAATGTTGTCCAAAGAATTAGAAAATGCATTAGCAAATTAGAAAAATTTTAGTTCATATAATGATATTATAATTGCCATTGCCAGCATTCAATATCAGAAAAGACATGTAAATGAAGGCTTCACTTAAATTATAGAAATCACAGCAACCTCAAAAAAAATCTATTTTCTTATTTCTTATGAGTTAATTCTGAATTTATTTTGTAACTTAATATTTTTTGTGAATATACACATTACCTATTGAAGATGCAGAAGTAATAAAACCAGAAAAAAAATATATATTACAAATAAAGCGGTTCCGAACTTTTTTTTCAAATACCCCATTTTGCCTATTTTTATGCTTTATTCCTCCCTCCCTATGTATAAATATACTTCGTTTGTTCAATCTTTAATGTATCATTTGCTAAGTTGTTTGCGGACTGCTGTTTTTGCACAGCTTAAGAAGATAATGATGTGTTTATGAATGAGTATTATTATAGTAATAATAAATAAATAAAATACTAGGTATACTACAAGAAATACAAAGCAAAATTTCTCCCCCAAATTGCGAATTTCTTAGCTGTTAGAAAAGGTTGATTAATCATTCAATCAGCAATTCAACACCAATGACAATCAAGAGATAAGAAAGAGGGAATGATTTTAAGACTAAAACTATAGATGTGAAATGCTATTCAGGTGTGGGATATATCACTGTAGAATGTTAAAGTCCCTTTCACTCATGTCGAATGAGTGCGTTCTATTATTTAAATTTTTGTATTTTTGATAAGATTACGTTTTGAAAACATAACCAGAAATACCTGTTGTCGATGTAGCCATCATGGATTCTGAAACAAAAAATAAGTTGAATTCAGTGTTACAGTAATTGAATGTATGAATTATAAAATACAAATAAAGTTTAATACTCAGTGAAATAATATACCTTCCAAATAACAGCCCAATAACTCCATTCGAAGAACAATATAGTTTTTATATTTCAATGGATACAGTCGAATAAATTTGGCAAAAATAGATTTTGGCAAATAGTTAGCAACTTTCGTGGATGAGTCTGTATTACCTGGAAAAATCTGGAAAACAATTTTTTTTGGTAAACGATTATTAAACAATGAAATCAAATAAGGTAATGATAATGTTACATGTCATTAATGAGAAATCTAAATTCGGTATAGAATTAAATTTGGTATGTAGTATGACAATGTGTAATAATATAAGTGATCACAATAATAATATTGTAAAGCAGCATCTTAGTATAATAGGTATATAAGGAAAAAATTTGATTATCTAAGCAAAAATTTTAGTATTATTTAACATAGTAATCTATAAATGTCTTTCATAGATCAAATTGGATAGAAATTCTGAAATGATGTTAAAATTACAGCAATTGACAAAAAATTATCCAATGCATGACTGAAATGGTTGAAATATACTAGGAAATATTGTGATAATAAAAGATAAGGTAATGCTCGGCAATGTGGCGCATCGTGCTAAGCATTAGGAATACGCTCGCCACCGCATCTCTGATTGCCCTTTGTGGGTTGCAGGTTCGAATCCCATGCGGGATGATCATATGCGAGAGGATTGCTGGACTCCTCGCCGCCGTAGGGTGGTTCACGTAACCGCTGGTCGGTTACGGCTTCCTCCACCATCAAGTCAATGCTTCCGAAAACAAATACCTGGCTAACTAATCCCATACCCGACCTGGACTGGTAACTGGAAGAGAGGCCGTGGTTCGCCATATGATTAAGCCGTCGTATAAATATGTAAATCCTATCCTAATGCATATTTTAGATTTTTAGAACTGTATTACAAACCATATCTGTTCCAAAATTGTTTTGCACAAAGGTCCATTGCAGCCCATCATCAGAATAAGCTATTTTGTATGATTTTACAAAATAGTCCCCATAAACTGAACCTTGAGTTATAATTCCATGAACAATTTTTAATTTGTCAGTTTGAATTTGAATCCACTCATCATTGTTACTATTTTTCATACCTTTTGAAATAATAGATTATATGTTATTTATCATTAAACTTTTAAAACTTAGTATCATAACAAAAATATAACTTACAAAGACAAGCCCAGCCAATATTTTTAGTTGGATCTATTCCCTGATCTAGTCTGCCATAAAATGCTTCATACTTGGAATTGAGAACAGATGATGAAGTGATGAATTGATTAGGAATTCGACCATCACTGATTCCTAGTGGCTTCATACAGTTGTATCCTGTTTGTTTATAATAAAATAAGAATATTATAAAAGTGTTTTTGCAAAATAACACTATGAAAACATAGACTTATACCATCAAACTTCCAACTGTGAGTTGCATATGAATGACAATTAAATTTGACCGATAAACATAAATTGCCAGCTAGATGTTTCATAGGACTCAGTCGAATGAATTTTGCAGATATCTTCCTCGAAAACTCAACGATGATTTCAGAATTTTGAAACGTATAGGATTTGTCCTAAATAAAATAAGAAAATTGAAAGCATGCATACTTTTAAAATGTTACACTAAATCAATTATTTACTGCTAAAATTAAAAATAATTGATAGTGAAAATTAGTAGCACTGATAAAAAGTCAATAGCATCAACTAAATTGTCAAAAAGCATGTATTTGAAGCAACTATGGCGCATTGGACTTATATATATGAAACTTATCTATACATGTGTATATTCTTGTGAGCATAGAATCAAA